CTTATTCTACTCAGCTCACTTTTAATAAAGGACCTGAGAACAGAGGAACCAAAGACATTCAGCGACTCATGCTTTTACTTAACCAGAAATGTAAAATTTGCTAGTTCATTTAAAAGTTAATCACATGCATAAATGTTCGTATTAGAATATAAAATCAATAAAATGTCTATAAACCATAAGGATCTTTGCTCCTTTGACACAGTCAGTTGGTAAAATTCTCAAATGTACTCTCTTGATTCAGACCCGACACAACTTGCTTGGGTTCGTTGATTACAAAGTCAAAGTTGAATCTTCAATGGTGTACAGCTGAGGTGTGTACTTTACTCGACAGTTGTTATATGTTGTTATTCTTCTCATCCCGTTACTTTCCAAACGATTTCAGATGTTCTGGAATTTCTGCAGTTTTCCTTCTTCCTAAAATTGCTGGAGGTCAACGAAAGTTGATGAAACAGTCCAAGTCTGATGGATTTTAACCCCGAAGACAACACATTTGCTTCACCGCTTCATATCGTCACATGAAAGATGGCTCTTGTGTGGACAGCCCCGATATGCTCTGTCCTAGACTGAACAAAGCCATACATCTTTTATAATCGATTTTCCACAGTCAACAGCAACAACAACTTGGATTTATATAGTGCCCTCCATGCCGGACGGCATCTCAGAGCGCTTAGTCAGTCAGGATGTCAGCTGTAATAAACACATCTCTTTATATTTTTCTAGCCAACATCATCATTTTTAACCATTAACAAAATGGTATCTATTCAACATAAGCATTTCTAACCATTGATTAAAATAATTATTTTGACTGCCTGAGTTAACATATATTCACAATTTCAGTTATGAGGCGGGATCACTCTAGGGTATTTAATGATTGTGGCATTAGACTTGTGGAAGTCAGAGTTTGGGCTGGAGGAGAACTGGAGCGCTTCAACCTGTGTGATAGACGCAATCAATTTCAACAGGGTTAAATTGGGAGAAGGAGAGATGGAAATGACTGCATTTCTCAGGAGATTAGCTCTGTTACTAGCTGACCATTACACTTGAGGCCAGTGTGACTCCAGCATCTGAAAGGAGGAGACATTTATTTCAGCAGTTTCTTTTGAATCGACCTTCTGATTACTGGGAGCCGATCCCAGCAACCCTGCACCTTGGCGATGTTTTGGTTTTAATCCAAGTATCCATCTCTATCGCAAGCCTGCTTGGTTTCAATACATTTGTTTTCAGTCACTGTTAACAAGTCCACTGCTTCGTCAGCCTTGAGTTTTCAAAGTATGCTAGTGCACTTGTATTAGCAAGCTCTCGTATTCTCTTTAACAGGAGATAAAGTATTGATGACTGTTAAAATGGTTCACTCAAAGAATAGAGTGCACCTCTCATCCCCCACATAATCTTTGTAATATAATCAAACAGATGCAGATGAGATGTAAAATCATTCTCTTGCTCCTCGCAGTAGCTATGGGACTCTAGCAAAGCACAAGAGTAAGCTCACTGGTGTAACGAACCCTCAATGTATTTTGGTCTCTGATGCTATATTACATTTTAATACTTTCTCGCTCTCCTGAAAGATAGAAAGGCTGCAAACAAACTGTTACATTGTTAATTGAACACACAAAAGAGCTGCTTGATTTGTTTAACTTGCTTTGTTGAATCTTATGCACTTTTGACTGAGCAGATACTTCACTCTCCCTTCTGCGCACTCAAACTTGGTATTGCCCAGGTTCATCTGGTCAGCGTCCCAATAACTAGCATCACAACTCACCCCCCACTCCGACAATTGATGATAATAGGCATGGCGAAGGAGCGGAAACAGGGCCAGGCCTTCCTCCAGTTCCCAGTATCCTTCAGGGTCAGGGGAAAGAGAACCTATCTACTTCCAACTCCAGCAAAGATGGAGACATTACAAAACTATATCTGAATGATTGTGAGGAGAATAATTATATGTATTCGCTGAATTCGCTGACTGTAAAGCCAGTCAGGAACCTCGGGGTTCTGTTCGACCCTGAGCTGTCCTTTCTCCCTCATATCCGCGCCACAACTGGCACCGCCTTCCATCACCTCCGGAACATCGCCAGACTACGGCACTACCTCACCCCTCACGCGGCTGAAACTCTGGTCCACGCCTTTATCACCTCAAGGCTGGACTATGGGAAGCCTCTCCTCGTCGGCCTTCCCGCCACCTCCCTCCACACTGCAGGTCATTCAACTCTGCAGCTCGTGTACTGTCCCGCACCAGACACCGCGACCACATCACCCTCACCCTCGCCCTCGCTCGCCTCCACTGGCTCCCCATCCCCCAGAGGATCGAATTCAAGATCCTCATCCTCATCTACAAGGCCATTCACGGCCTCGCTCCCTCCTACCTCTCTGACCTACTATCCCCCTACCTACCTGCCCGTACCCTCCGTTCCTCTGGCTCCGGTCTGCTCCACATCCCCCGCCCCAACCGCCCTACCATCGGTGGCCGGGCCTTCAGCCTCTCAGTCCCGAGGCTCTGGAACTCCATCCCTCAGTGCCTTCGCCACCTCTTCCCTTTCCTCCTTCAAGACCGGTCTCAAGACCTTTCTCTTTGACCGTGCCTTCAGCTCCCCTCTCGACTCTCTACCCCCTCCTCGCTCCCTCCCTTCCCTCCCCTCACTTTGACCATTTCCCCCCAATGCTCGGGTCCTGACCCAACTGTACAGCACCTTGGGACGTCCTTCCAACGTGAAAGGCGCTCAATAAATGGAATCTTGTTATTGTTGTTGTAATTTGGGAATACAAGATTTGCTTCTTGGTCTGTTGTCACAAGCCATCTCCTGACATTCCTAAGCCATCCTTCGGGCGAGACATTAAACCAAGGTCCTGTCTGCCTGTTTGGGTGGCAGTTAAAGATCCCATGGCTCTTTTGAAAAAGGGAAGGGAGCTCTGGGCAACAATCCCCCAAATAAATCCCCCAAATCACTGTGTTTTGCTTTCCTGTGTGCTGGCTGATGATGGAGCTGACTGCCTGAATTGAATTGAATTTTAAAAAATTCTGTGAGATCTTACATTTTAAGGCAATGGCCTTAAGGCTGAGACCATGAGAAATTTCAGGCCTCAGATAGGAAGGGAGCCAATGGCACCCGTTCTATTGTAGGTAAGCAAACAGTGCAGATAATTTGCAATCAGGCAAAGCACAAATTGGCCATAACGCTAACTAAAAAAACATGTTCCTTCGGGGGTTATACTGTCATTATAGAACTGCACTGTGCCTGATCTTCTTTCTCTTTGCCTCTCTCGCTCACTAACTATCTTTTGTATCTCTCTCTCTAATGCTATACATGTATATATAATTGTCAATTTATTTTTCAATCTCTGTGTCGAATAAAAGTAGTGTAAATATGAAAACTTACCCATGCGACAGCAAAAAAAAGGTTGTGGTATTTGCTTGTGAGATTACAAAAAGCCATAAGTCACGGCCATAGCAACCTTTGTGCATGTGCGGGCACCAATTGTTTTCTTTTGTCGGATTTGCAGTCCCATGATCAACGTCTGCTTCGGAGTCCATTGCGGATAATTGGGGTGCTGATACCTGACACAGATAACAGATCACCAACACTGGTTGCCACTGATGTCACAGTGAATGCTGGAGTGCTGACTGATTGTAACACTTGTTGGGATTTTATGGATTTTACAATGGGGCTCCACTGTATCATAATTGGAGAGCAGGGATGAACAACACACTAATATATTGCTGCTTGGACCTACGTCTTTATTACTTTGATAGATATTCTCAGAGAATGGAAGTGACATTTGGGTTCATGTGCTATCTCTGTTTGCTGAAGTCTTCCGGCAGGGCTGCTAGTTTTATTGTATTGAATTTCTCGCTCCAAATGCTCTAGTGAAGTTTATCAGAGGGGATATCAGAGAAGCTGTAGTGAACCTTCTAGGCTTGGTTCAGCTGCAATAGAATTTGTGAGTAAAATAAATTAAACCAACCGGTGGCCATTAACTGAGGCTCAATACAAGCTCACACATATTCTGTAGGCACATGGCCTGTGGAATCACATAGTAAGCTGACACTCCAAAAATGACAAGTGTCGGGTGTGCCGTCTTTCGGATGAGACATTAAATCAAGGTCCCATCTGCCTGTTCAGGTGGATGTTAAAGATCCCATGGCACCATTCAAAAAGAGAAGGGAGATTCTCCTGGTGTCCTGGCCAACAATCTCCCAATCAAATTGGCTGTTTGTGGGACATTGCCGTGCACAATTGTACTTCTGCATTTGCCTACAAATACAGTCATTTAATTTCATAGTAAAATCCTCTGTGGCACTTTGAGATGTCCTTCCGACAGGATAAGGCACTATACCATATGCAAGAATTATTTATTGTTAATAATCATGTTGATGGAACTATAGCCAGGCACAAGTCAAGAGTAGGATATGTGAGGATTGTGTCAGGATTAAACAAACAATAATTTGCTCACTCTAACAATAAGGTTCAACAAATGAACCCACATACAGGATTTATTTTGAAGAGGATGATCATTTTATTTGTAACACATTTTGTAACGATCATGTCAGCCGAATCCCAGCCGTTGAACAATTTGGCTTTGATGTAATTTTGTAATTTTTTGCCTCTCAAATTATATTTCAACTGAGCCAAGCATTCTTCCAGCAAAGAGAATGGTGTCCTTCCAATACTGGTGGAGATCATTTCTCACTCCTATTTATACAGGATACTCACTCCCCAGAGCTGTCCAAGGCACAGAATCGCTGATCTTGAGCTTGAGACCATTGACTTAATATTGAGTGTGGAGTGGATTTTGGAAAAACAATTCAGTTTATTTTTAATATTTGTGTTTTCAGTGACTCTTAAAAACAGTGGAAAAAAGACTGTGAGAAATTCCAGGTTTCTCGTCTCTCCGCTGCCTCCTTGTGATGTTCCAATCGGCTTTGAAGCTGCTGTACACAAGCGCATTTACCAGGATCTGAAATTGTCAATGCTGTTTACCTGTAATAATGTTGTTTTGTGTGGCAGGCTTCTGCTGCAGGCTGGCATAGACATCAACCGGCAGACAAAGGCGGGGACAGCTCTGCATGAAGCTGCATTATGTGGCAAAACAGAAGTGGTCCGTTTGTTACTGGAAGTAAGTGTCTCTGGGGAAGAGGGTGGTGGGGGGCCGAGACAGAGAGACCTTATTTAAATAGAAGATTTGTAAAAACCCAGCACTTTGATTTGATCTTCCAACACTGAGCTCCATTCCTTTCAGATGCAGCCTCGAGCATTATTTGAGTGTGGATAAAAGTAGAAAAAATCATTCTTTCGCAAACTGAAATGAACTTGGTTAATCACTGTAGTGTTTCATTGGTGCAAAATTCTTGATTAATCTGATTGCATGTTTAAATGAGGTAGACAAGTATGTAAGTAGTAGAAGTATAAGGAATGGCCCAAGAGTACTTGAAAAGCTCTTGAAAATGTAATTGAAAATGAAAAAAAATGCAGGGCTATGGTGTAGAAGCGGGCGAGTGGGACTAGTTGGTAGCTCTTTCAAAGATCTGGCAAGGCACGATGGGCCAAATGGCCTCCTTCTATGCTGAAAGATTCTAAGAGAGGGCCATTGGGATTAGGAGATCTACCAAGATCAAATAAACTGTGGAACAGTCTCAATGGACTGAAGGGCCTTCTCCTGTTCTTCTATGTTTCTAATAAATATCATAATTTATGGGGTAAGGATGACATCAGGCTTTGAGAGGGTTTTGTAGGTTTCATTGCTTTACCTTTGAATATTTTTCTTCTGTTTCAGAGTGGAATTAATGCACATATCAAGAACACGTACAATCAGACTGCCCTGGATATCGTCAACCAGTTCACAGCCACACAGGCGAGCAGAGAAATCAAACAAATGCTCCGAGGTAGGCCACAAAAGGTGAAGAGATGTGCCAGGATTTTCAGACAGGGCCCCAAGATGGAATGAGAGCCTTTGGTACCTTGTTACAAGTCAGCTTCTTGTCTATGGTTGTGCATCGTGCCATGTCTGCAGGCAACATGTCACCTCAGTGAAACAGGACCTTGGAGCTCATCTTAATAAGAGCTCATCTTAATAAGAGAAGACTTGATATAATCTAATAATCTTTGACACAGATTATCATGTCAAAGTCTCAAAGCACTTCATAGGATTTTACTATGAAGTGTAGTGACGGTGTGCTTGTAGGTGAACATGGTTAGATTCCTCAATGGAGGCACCTAAGACATTAATATCACTGGTATTGAAGGCCCCAAATCATGGATTTAGTCATTGAGAATGCATTGGGGAGGTGGGGGGTGCACAATGCACACATCTAAGTTCACCAAAATTGTGGCTGGAGCACTAACTGTGTAGAATAGACTGCCAGTAGAACACGCCGGGAAAGAGCTGGACAAATATCAGTTTGGCACCAGAAGGGAAGTTTATAGAAATAACTGAGTTAAAAATCCACAGCACTTCCCGAAAAAAGAGTCTCTCCCAACGTCCTGGCAAAAAATCTTTCACTCCATGAGTGTTTGTGGGACATTGCCTGGGCCAAAAGAAAAGTGCGGAAATATTTGCCCAGATTTGTCAATTTTGCAGAAAATTGCAGGGAAACTTGTCAGATTTTGTAGAAAACGGCAGGGTTGTTGATTGATGCTATTGAGGTATATTTTACTGCCAACCTACATTTTTTCCTTTTGTTGATAAAAACTAAACATGAAGAAATAGAAAGCAGAGAGTGGTAGTAAACGGTTGCTTTTCTGATTGGGGGAGGTGTGTAGTGGTGTCCCTCAGGGGTCGGTATTGGGACCACTGCTCTTTCTGATCTATATTAATGATCTGGACCTGGATATAGGGAGCACAATTTCCAAATTTGCAAACAACACTAAGCCAGGAAAAGTAGTTAATGGTGAGGAGGATAGCACCAGACTCCAAGAGGACTTAGACAGATTAGTAAAATGGGCAGCAATGTGGCAGATGAGGTTTAATGTGGAGAAATGCGAAGTGTTGCGTTTCGGTAGGAAGACTGAGGAGAGGCAGTGTAAGCTGATGGTACAATCTTGAAGGGGGCAAATGAACAGAGAGACCTGGGGGTCCACATCTCTGAAGGTGGCAGGACAGGTAGATAAAGCTGTGAAAAAGGCATCCGGGATACTAGGCTTTATAAATAGGGGCATAGAATACAAAAGTCAGGAGGTTATGTTGAATATAAAATGCTGGTTAGGCCTCAGTCGGAGACTGCGTTCAGTTCTGGGCACCGCACTTTAGGAAAGATGTTAGGACATTGGGGAGGGTGCAAAGGAAGTTTACCAGGATGGTACCAGGAATGAAGGACCTTAGTTATGAGGAGAGGTGAGTGAAACTAGGATTATTCTCCTCAGAGCAGAGAAGATTAAGAGGGGATTTAATAGAGGTTTTCAAGATCATGAGAGGATTTGATAGATTGAACCGGGAAAAACTGTTTCCACTGGTCAGTAACCCGAGGACACCGATTTAAGAGAGCTGTTAAAAGAAACAGAGGGGAAGTTAGGAAAAAAATTTCACCCGGCGAGCTTTTGGGATCTGGAATGCATTACCTGAAAGGGTAGTGGAAGCCGATTCAATAACAACTTTTAAGAGAGAAGTAGATGGGTATTTGGGGAGAACAGGATTGCAGGGCTATGGAGAGAAAGCGGATTGAGTTGGAAGCTCTTTTCGGAGCCGGCGCAGACACGGTGGGCCGAATGGCCTCTTTCTGTGCTGTACGATTCTATGACAGAATACACACACACTCACAGAGAGAGACACGCGCACACACACACCGAGACACACACTCAGACACAAAGGACACACACACTCAGACACAAACACACACACTCATAGACACAGAGTGACACACAGATAAACACTCAGACACACAGAGAGAGACACACATACTGACAGACTGAGAGACAGACACACACTCACAGACCGAGAAAGACACACACATTCACAGAGAGAGAGACGCTGACAATCACACATTCTCTCTCTCTCTCACACACACACACAGACAATCATACACTCTCTCTCAACTCACAGAGACACAATCACACTCTCTCTCACACACACAGAGATACAATCACACTCTCTCTCACAGAGACACACAATCACACACAATCATACCCACTCTCACACACACAGAGACACACAATCACACTCTCTCACACAATCATACACACAGAGACACACAATCACACTGTCTCACACACAATCATACACACTCACACACAGAGACACACAATCACACTCTCTCACACACACAATCATACACACTCACACACAGAGACACACAATCACACAGAGACACACAATCACACTCACACACAATCATACACACTCACACACAGAGACACACAATCACACACACTCACACACACAGAGACACACAATCACACACACAGAGACACACAATCACTCTCTCACACACAGTCATACACACTCACACACAGAGACATACAATCACACACTCTCACACACAATCATACACACTCACACACAGACACACAATCATACACACTCTCTCAAACACACACAGACAATCACATACTCTCGCACACACCCACAGAGCGATATACAGACAATCACACACTCACACACATCATAGAATCATACAGCACAGAACGAGACCATCATGTCTGTGCCGTCTTTTTGAAAAGAACTTACAAATCAACCCCAGTCCCCCGCTCTCTCCCCATAGCCCTGCAAGCTTGTCCTCCCCAAATAATTACTATCTTAAAAGTTGTTATAGAATCGGCTTCCACCGGCCTTTCAGGCAATGCATTCCAGATCCCAACAACTCGCTGTGTGAAAATATTTCTCCTCCCCTCCCCTCTGTTTCTTTTAACAACTATTTTAAATCAGTGCCCTCGGGTTACTGACCCACCCTCCACTGGGAATAGTGTCTCCTGTTCACCCTATCAATTCCCCTCATAATTTTGAAAACTTCTATTAAGTCTCCTCTTAACCTTCTCTGCTCCAAGGAGAACAATCCGAGCTTCTCCAGCCTCTCCTGATAACTGACGCCCCTCATTCCTGGTACCATTCTGGTCAATCTCCTTTGCACCCTCTCCAGTGCCTTGACCTCCTTCCTAAACTGTGGGGCCCAGAACTGAACCCAGTCTCTCACTGAGGCCCCACCAGTGTTTATATAAAGCTTCATCATAACTTCCTGACTTGTGTATTCTATGCCCCTATTTATAAAGCCTGGTGTCCCGGATGCTTTTTTAACAGCTGTATCTCCCTGTCCGGCCACCTTCAAAGATTTACTATATGACCCCCAGGTCTCTCTGTTCCTTCACCCCCTTTAAGATTGTACCATCAGCGTATATTGTCTCTCCTCATTCTTCCTCCCCAAATGCATCACTTTGTATTTATCCACATTAAACTTCATCTGCCACGTGTCTGCCCATGTTACCCGTCTGTCTGTGTCCTCTTGCAGTCTGTTACTATCCTCCTCACTGTTTACTATTTTTCCATCTGCAAACTTGGAAATTGCACTCCCTATACCCAAGTCCAGGTCATTTATGTAGATCACAAACAGCGGTGATCCCAATACTGATCCCTGGGGGACACCACTGCACACCTCCCTCCAGTTAGAGAAACAACCGTTCACCACCACTCTCTGTTTTCTGTCTCCCTGTCAGTTCTGTATCCGCTCCACTGTCCCTTTAATACCGTGAGCTTCTATTTTGCTTACAAGTCTCTTATGTGGCACTTTAACAAACTTTTTTTGAAGATAAACTACTTCAACTGCACTATCTTCATCCACCCTCTCCTTTACTTTATCAAAAAACTCTTAACAGGTTTGTTAGACATGATCGGCTTTTAACAAATCCGTGCTGGCTGTCCTTTATTAACCCATATTTTTCTAAGTGAAAATTGATCGTCTCTCGGATTATAGTCTCTAGAAGTTTCCTGACTGCTGACTTTAGGCTGACTGACCTGTAGTTCCCGGATTTATCCTTCTGCCCTTTTTGTACAGGGGAGTAACATTTGCAACTCTCCAGTCCTCTGACACCACCCTGGTATTCAAGAAGGATTTAAGGGTTGTGGCCAGAGCCTCTGTTACTTCAATTCTTACTTCCCTCAGTAACCGAGGATGCATCCCATCCGGACTGGGTGATTTATCTACCTTCAGGACCGACAACCTTTTTAGTATCGCCTTTCGGTTTATTCTTATCCAATTTCACTCCCCTCTCCTCCGATACGATGGTATTGGCTGCATCCTCTTCTTTTGTAAAGACAAATGCAAGGTACTCATTCAGTATGTCAGCTATGCCCTCTGCCTCCACAAGAAGATTTCCTCTTTGGTCCCTAATTGGACCCACCCTACCTTTAACTAGCCTTTGACGCCCTGCCTGTCTGCCTTCCAAACTCCTCCCTCCACAGGCTGCAGATAATCCAGAACTCTCCAGTCAGTGTCCTCTCCCGCAATAAACTCAAAACCCTCCTCTTCGACCATGATATCGGCCAACCCCCTTCCCCCTCCCTGACCCCAGCTCACGTCTGAAATGCTGTACACTGTCCAGTGTCTTGGGGACTTCCTCCCAACGTGAAAGGCGCTATACAGATGTAATCTTGTTGATGTTTATATGCTTATAATATCTTAGGGTTCCCTTTTATATTACCCACTAATCTTTTCTCATACAATCTCTTTGCCCCTCTTATTTCCTTTTTTAGTTCTCCTCTGTACTTTCTATATTATATTTGATTATCTTCTGTATTTTGGACCTGACATTTATCATAAGCCTCCTTTTCTGTTTCATATTAATCCCAATTTCTTTATTTATCCATGGAGGTTTGGATGCCCTCCTTTCACCTTTGTGGGATGTATTTGTTCTGTGCCCGAACTATCTCCTCCTTGAAGGTTTCCCATTGCTCGTTAGCTGTTTTACCTGCCAATCTTTCTTTCCAGTCCACCTTGACTAGGTCCCTTTTTAACTCACTGAAATTAATCCTCTTCCAGTTGAGTATCTTCACCTTTGATTGCTCTTTGTCCCTTTCCATAAGTACTCTAAACCTACTGATGTTGTGGTCACTGTTGTCCAGATGCTGAAACCTGCCCACTTGCCCCACTTCATTCCCCAGAACTAGATTCCAGCACTGCTTCCTTCCTCATTGGGCTGGAAACGTATTGATCCAGAAAGTTATCCTGCACATATTTCAGGAATCCTTCCCCCTCTTTGCCCTGTGCACTGTTATTTTGCCAGTCTATGTTAGGATAGTTGAAGTCCCCCATTATCACCACTCTATTGTTTTGCATCTTTCTGAAATCTGCTGCAGATTTGCTTATCTGTCTCCTTCCCACTATTTGGTGGTCTATAGTACACACCGAACAGAGTAACAGCTCCTTCTCTGCTCCTTAACTCTAACCAAATAGATTCTGTTTTTGGACCCTCTAGTACATCGTCCCTTTCCAGGGCCGTCACCGTGTCTTTAATCAATATTGCCACCCACCCACCTTCCTTTTTTCCCTTCCCTATCCCTCCTGAATACATTGTAGCCGGGAATATTCAGCTCCCATTCCTGCCCTTGTTTGAGCCAGATCTCCGTTATTGCCACTACATCATAACCCCATGTGGCTACTCGAGCCGCAGCTCACCAACCTTATTTGTCACACTCCGTGCATTTACGCACATGTACTCCAAAACCGACTGAATGCAGATGCATTTCTCCCCCTTTTCCTGGACTATTCCTTGTTACATTCCTATTCCTCTCTCCCAGCCCTCTATGTAACTTGTTTGTCCTCTCTAATGCTACATCCTGATTCCCTTTCCCCCTCAAAATTAGTTTAAACCCTTCCCCACAGCACTCTCTGCGAGGACATTGGTCCCAGCCCTGTTCAGGTGCAACCCATCCACCTTGTACAGGTCGCACCTGCCTCAGAACTGGTCCCAATGATCCAGGAACCTGAAGCCCTCCTTTCTGTACCATTTCTCCAGCCATGCATTCATGTGTTTGATCTGCTGTTTTGATACTCACTTGCACGAGGCACTGGGAGTCATCCAGAGATCACCACCTTTGAGGTCCTACTCTTTAGCTTTTCCCTAGCTTCCGATACTCTCCCTGTAGGATCTCAGCCCTTTTTTTTCCCTACATCATGAATCCCAACATGGACCATGACTTCTGGATGTTCCCCTTCCCCCTGTAGAATGTTTTGCACCTGTTCCATGATGTCTTCAACCCTGGCACCAGGGAGGCAACATACCATGTGAGAGTCACGTCTTTGTTTGCAGAAACGCCTGCCTACTCCTTTCAACATTGTGTCCCCAATGACAATTGCATTGAGACTCTTCCCTGTGTCCCCTGTGCATCCATTTGCTTTTGACTCCCCTCCCCAGAGGTGTCATCACCCTGACCGGTCTTCAGTACAGAGAACTGGTTTGTGAGTGCCACACTCTCAGGGGATTTCTGCACTGCCCGTCCCCTCTTCCTACCAAGCCAGGTGGTCACCCACTCGCTCTCCTATTTTGTTTTAATATAACTTATATATTTTATAATTATGCACCGATTTTCCCCCTCTGTACCAAATTCCCACTCTCACCAAATTTCTTAACACAATTCTCACTCTGTTCCACCTCACTCAGTTCACCCCTCACACTGCAGGCTCTCTGCTCCCATATAGAGACACACAGACAATCATACACTCTCACACAAACGCACACAGAGACATAGACAATCATAATCGCGGGGCCTCCGAGGGAAGCCCATTTGCCGCTTGAGCCACACTGTACATATGCGTCCATAGCTGCCCCACCCACAATGAAGTCAGGTAACCAGCTGGGAGGCCCGTGGCCCAGAATCTACTTTTATAGTGGGTTTGTAGCAGATTTGGGTATTTGTGGCGGATTCCGCAGGAAACGTGCAGCCGCACTTTTCTATTGGCCCAGGAAATTGCTCCACATTAACTGGCTGCCGCGGTTGCCTACAAATACAGTTACTATACTTGACACCAATTCCTTATGCAGCGTTTTGAGACTTTTGGATCAGTAGTTGCTTTATCAAACACCTAGATTATAATTACAGAGTCAGTTACTGCAGGAAGTGGGTCTAGAAGTGGGACTGAGTGTTTTTTTTGCAATGTGAGATCATTTTGCTTGAAAAATATCCTGTCGACACTGTAAGCCAAGCCCTAATGGTAGGGTAGTCCTAGCAGAAAGAACAGTGGGAAGTTTTCCAGACAGTGCTTTCAGTGGCAAGCTATGTGTTTTAGCTGGTTCGACTTCAGCAGGGCCCAGCACACACTCTGGGGTCCCATGGCCTTGGCTCCTTCATGCATATTCCATTCAAGACACAGGGAAATTTCTATATGTAGGTGGCATACATATGTGGAAGTCTAAGTCTGGCTTGGATACTCTTAAAAGCGCAGACACTCAGCTGACCAATTCATGGCTAAATCAGAAGCAGTGTCCACAGTTGCCAAATTGACCTCACAGGCTGAGACTAGGTACAATTTGGGGCCTTGATCTAGGGAGCATCTTGTTGACATCTACTTATTGTTGTTTTGTTCTTTGCAGAAGCTTCTGCTGCCATACAGGTGCGAGCAGTGAAGGACTACTGTAACAACTATGACCTGACCAGTCTTAATGTAAAAGGGGGAGATGTGATTACAGTGAGTTTGATTACAGTGCGATCCTCTCATACTTTATCAATCCTTTGGCCTTGAGTTCAATATCTCTGATTGATTAAATCCAATTGATTATTCTTAATGTACTTGTTAAACAAAACCAAACATCTAAATAATCCATCAAGAAGCTTGGGATTTGACGGTCCCTTCAGACAGTTAATTCAACAAGGGACTGAACTTCATTGATTTGCATGACAATGTAAAACGCAACACTTTTTGTCACTTTTCTCACTTTAACTAAAGAAATTTTCCACCAGGTGTGTATTGCAGGTTGGTAGATTTATTTACAGTTCACAGTTATTGCAGAAGAAATGCACTGCGTAATTATCAAGGGTCGAACCACCTTCAGGTGTCATATTGAGCCCTTGTGAATGCATGCCCCACTCTGCATATTTGCCTAACAATAAACTGGAACCTTCCTGTATTGGCAAGTTACATTCATCTGATAAGTAGTGCGGGAGCTAGAGTCCTGTGATGGTCTTTTTAAATACACACAAACACAAGCCTTGTTACTAAGCCGTTTCCAGGAAAATAAGGTTTCATTCAGCTGCTTTCCAACAGTAGTGCTCTTGCCTCTGGGTCAGAAGATTGTGGGTTCCCACATTGGGACTTTGAACTCATATAATCTAGGCTGTCACTCCAATGTAGGTGTGCTGCATTGTCAGAGGTGCTGGCCTTCAGATGAGACGTTAAACAGATCCTGCATGCCTGTTCAGGTAGACATTAAAGATCCCACAGCACTATTAGAAAAGAGAAGGAGTTTCTCCTCATGTCCCAGTCAACAATCCCCCAGGTACAATTGTTCATGGTTTTTTGTGAGACATTGCTGTGCACAAATAGGCCGTCTCATTCACTTCCAAAACACGGTAAATGCTTTGAGATATTTCAATGTTAATAGGCGCTACATAAAAGGATTTTTATTATTGTTGTATCTGGTTTACACCCCCGAGTGGCCAATTAAAGCTAAACAGTTCTCAGGTTCGGATGCTTGCCCTCTCGATGGCAATGGTGGAAACCCAAGGGATGATCATGAGACCATGAGAAGAGAAACAAACGAAAACTTCTAAATACTTTTTTTTTAAAAAGTTTTAAAATGAATCATGTTGTGTTGGATGCAGCTATGAATTTAATATGTCACGAAATCAATGCAGTTTATATTTGAACAGTAATTTAGTAATATCTGCCAGAATTGTTTGTCATTTAGATATCTTGATCAAGGGTGTTTCGGTAGCAGTTTTGCTGTAAGTGAACGTTTGTTTCCCCCTGTGTGTTTTCACATATAAATAAATCAATGACACCGACATAGAGAGAAATTGATGGGATGTCTTTTGAGGTGAAGAAAGCAGCAGGTGGCGCTACACACACACACAACTATCATAATTAGCAATAAAAGCATTCCTAATCAGTGGATTATCGGTAAATAGCAAGGGCAAGTCTAGCTGAAGTGACCATTTGTGTCATTGGTCATGAAGGGCTTTTTGACGTAGGCTTACCCCATAGCCTTTGCCTGGCTCTCCGACTCGCTCACTCTCAACCCTGCCCATCCCATGCACAGCTGCCAACTAATTGGCTGTCCGTGCTCTGCCTTTGACAATCATTCGGAGCTGAGTGGGTGAGTGGCAGGATTTTTAAATGGGAGAGTCCTCTGGCTGCCATACACGGTGGTCACCAGCCACAATCTGTGTTGAATTATTGCTGGGAACCACTACAGAACCTGTGTCACATCAGTTGTTCTGCTTTGGGTTCTACAGAAGCATTAAATGTTGATAATGCTTGCATTTGGTATAGTGCCTTTCGGGTCCTGAGGATATCTCAGAGCCTTCACAGGACTTTATTGTAAAGTGTAGTGACTGTATATTTTTTGGGTGAATGACGCAATGAGCTATGAAGTGAATGACAATTTTTTTTCTCCATGGGGGATTGTGAGCCAGGGCACCAAACTCCCTTCTGTTTTTGAGTAGATAGGACGGTTAAATGTCTCATTAGAAGGAAGGCACCTCTAACAGTGCAGAGCTTCCCCAGCACTGCACTGGAGTGTCAGCCTGGACTGTGTGAGAATATGGAATTTGAACCCATAACCTTCTAACTCAGAAGGAAGAGTGCTACCAACTGACCCAGAATTGACACACATGACCAGTAAAATTTAGGGAGAATAATTGAATCACAATTCTTCTGTAACTGTGCCAGAAGACCAATCTATAGCCTCTTCCTTCAGAGCAAACAGCCTGTCCATAAAGCCTTGGTCCAGAACACAGATAACAGCCATTACTAATCTGAGAATGTGTAGCTTGTAGCTGTCAACTATTGTGTTAGCTGAACGAGCCTTGTTCTCAAGAGTAACTGTTAAATCGATGGGGACGGAGTGACCTGAGCCATAAATCTGGAACATCGACAATCATTGGTGTGGTGAATGCCACCTAATTCAGGACAGCAGTGATGGGTACTTGACATGCTGCCATTTAACAAACAACTATTAGTGGTGCCCACTGGCTATTGGGATTGGCAGTGACAGATTGGATATGCATCTTGTGATTTGAAGGGTAAGATCCAGTGAGGAAGCAATTACAAATACAACAAACACAAATTTGAATTTATACTGTGCCTTTCATATCGGGAGGACGTCCCAAGGAGCTTGGGATGTGAAGAAACACACAGACCGGTGCACACCCTGTCTGCTTACACCCCCAAACCATACTGCCCCTGACTAAATGGATCCTACCATACACTGCTATATTTTATTGTAACACAGCAACCATTGTACAAGAAATATTAAAGACCTTGTTTATCACTGAATTTGTTCACCCTCAGTGTTTGCGGAGCAGGACTGGAGGGAATCCTCTCGCTCTCTTCCCCCAGACAATTCAGGCCAAACAAACAGAACAATACGGTCAGACTTGGATTTCTGTCAAAGATCAAGCCGGTTTGATTCATTCATTTTTATTCATTTCTTACAACAGGTCCTGGAGCAGCATCCTGATGGGAGGTGGAAAGGATGTATCCATGACAACCGAACCGGCAACGACCGGGTGGGTTACTTCCCCTCGACTATTGTGGAGGTGATTAACAAGAGATCAGGTAAAAAATATCATTATCTTTTCTTAGCTTTGCTTGAAAACCCGAAGAAGCCTGACTTAGTGTCTTTAGGATGCAAAGTGAGAAAATATATAATCTAATCTCTTCACATACTGAGCACTGAGCTGTTCTGTAATTAAAGTATTTCCAGTATTTGTGGTTAAGGAGAACTGACTAAATTATCTCATTCTTTGATAATAATGTAAGAAATATATTATCTCTAAGCACCTGGTACAATAAGATCTTTATATTGTGTCTGTAGCATTTCTTGAATGTAAAATAATTTTTGCCGCTACTTTATAAGACAAATCCACTACCAGTGATCATTGATAAATTTCCAAAGATCAACCGTATGCAGGAATTCCTAAACTCAAGCCGTTGCTTATTCAAGGCATGTTTAGAGAATCACCACTAGATGGTGTCCTCTGCAAGGTAGGGGTTTGCTCTACCTTGGCATTTCACATGAGCGCTGCCATTTTGTTTTGACCCTGAGGTGAACAAACCAATTTTTAAATTGTTGGTCCCCACTTTAGGGCTCTGGTGCTTTTATTTTATCTTTATGTGTGTGCTCCCAGGGTTAATTTGGCCACGAGATCAACATTCTCACCATTGTAGGCCATAAATTAACTTTCAGCAACCACCTGGAGACTTTGGGCCTAGCCTGCACAATCATATCCAATTAAGAATTAATTTAGATTCTGCTAATAAAATGCATCGATCAGAATCCTGATCTGTCGCCTTGGGCATCCTGCCCTTTTCAGCTTATTGGGACTCAAGTTAGGATCACTCTCTTAAGTAAGTTAGGTGAATGTTTCATGTTCCTGCTATGTTATATATAATTGGCACAGCACTGCCTAAATCTAAGCTCAATGTTGAAGGGGTTTCCTCGCCTGGCTGCCCTGTGTGGTGATTGACAACTCTCACTCTCACCCTCTTCCCAGTAAAGTTGAAAAGGTGTACATCACAGCAGCAATTGCCTCTTTGACCCCACATTGGAGAAAACTGGCCTGGCCTCCCCTGGAAACCTTGTAAAACTAGTTCAGATATTAAAGAGCCAATAAAACTAGAAAAGGGACCCAACAGAATCATAAAGAGAAGAGTTTGATGATTAGATACCGATTAGAATGTCCCAAAGCAGTGAGCTTCTCGTTACAAGTGCAATCTTCCTTTAAGTAAATAGTGAACAATCCTGCAGAACTCAATAGTGTAAATTAAAAAGGTCACTCGCTCCATTGGCAGAACAATAGAAGAGAAGCACTGCAGATGGTGATAATTAGACGTCACTGCAGCTAATTGCCGTGTGGCAGTGCACCAGACGGCCAAAGTAAATTATTTTGTCTAGCGTTAAAACAGTATTACCTAAATTCCAAAAGCCATTACTATTGGTAAATTTGCTGACCATGAAGTGGGCTCAATCATGCCAACCTCATGTCACCAGTTTGGACAGGCTATCAGGCTATCATCCCTGGTAGTACTCAATAAATAAAATAAAATAAAATAATAAATGAAAATGACAAGCTAGACCCTTCCCTCCCATAGACAAATCTAGAACGTGGGAGAGCCCAACACAACTCTTAAAATTAGAGCTAAATTTGAGTTAATCATGAAACCAGAATTTTTGTTACGGAAAAGGCTGTAGAATACATCTTTCCAGATGGCCAGGGATGTTGAATGCATTGAATTGTTTGAAACATGAGATGGATAGAGACTTAATAACAACAACAACAACTTGCACTTATATAGCGCCCTCCACGCAGCTTGACTTAGAATACATAACGAGATATGGGGAGAAAAAGACTGGGGAAATGGGACCCAATTGAGGAAGATGGTCTATTCTTTTAAGAGGATAAAACAAATCTCGAGTATCCTTCTGAACAGTTGCACGATTCAATGGTTTTCTAAGTTGGGTTAGTTTTGCCTGAGCTCTGCTTTTAACATTTGGGTCAAGGGACCTGAAACATGACTCTCGAGAGCGTAGGAATGAAAATCTCTCTCCTGGAACAATCTCTTTTGCACTTGCACCTTTTTTTCCTCTTACAATATTTCCTCAGTCCCCACCCATTTAAGAAAATATACATTTTTTTGTTACTTTTCTTGGCGGAGAATTGTTTCAAACAAGCATTCCACAAGTCCTCCCTGGTATTCAGAAGTCTATCCTGGGAACTTTCAAAAAGCATTTCAACACTGCTTGGTCAACATGTTTTGATCAGTTACAGATGAACTCAAAATTGTCCTCATCCAATGCCCACATACATGTACATACAGGGCTGAATGGCTAGTGGTTAGGAGAGGGAACCCTGGTTGAAATACGTTTCACTTCCAGCCCTAGAGGTACTAAGGTTATATCTACTATCAGTTCAGCTGGGAACTCAGCACAGATCAAATGTAAGGTCTTCTTCATAGTCCAGTTTCACTGTACGCAGTGGCTTTCCGAACAAAGCTATGAGGAAATATGGTTACAGGTTTGACGTGACTGATTGGTGCTTGTTTCCATAAGTGCACTGAAAATAGGAATAAAATTACATGCTAATATTTTTTGAGGGGTGAATTTTTAAAAGAGCTTTCAAAATATAACCATAAACCTGCCTAATAATTGATTCCAAAGCCAGCCTCGTAAAGTCAGAAATTGCCCATTAAAATACCATTGACCTGTGGGAACCACATTTCACAGGCTAATTGTAAGTTAATTTTACTGTAAGCTAAGCGACAGCATGATTACAGTTTATGTTGAGTTGTTTCATTGAGCTAGCAAATACTGCTTTGTTTTCTTGCAAGTAAAATATGACTTAATAATATTAAATCTAATATACTGTATAATAACAGGTATGGAGAAAGAGCAGGTAAGCATACATTAGAAATGTAGAGGGTAAGAGGGTAAGCTAACACCAGTAAAGACACAAAGGACCAAATAGCCTCTCTCTGTGACATAAACTCTCTTATGTTTCTCAATGTGAACATGGACTAAATTGTATGCTTAAAAGAAATTGGAACAAGCATTTCTTAGAAAGTTCCACTTTATGCTAGTGATGAATGCCTTAAAGATGTTGTCAAGTGATAATTCCCTCACCAAATTCACAATGCTCAAAACTCTAAAATCCCACCTATGTAGCTCCATTTAGGGTAAATTTATGTTCTTTCTTCATTCTTGTGGACTGTTATGATGTTTCGAACTTTCCATGTCTGGTCAACCCATGTACTCACTGACTGGAACGGCATTGTTTTAGAGATTGAATTCAAGGGTTCAAACACGGTTTGAATACAAAGCGATTTAGGCATCAGAAATGTACGCTTTTTGCTCCAAAATGGCTTTAAACAGAAAGCATACAAAGTCAGATGTAGAGACTTTATTAAGGATAAAGAAAATTGTATTGTGGGAAATGGGAATACAAGCTAAAGGAAAGCTGGATAACTCCAGCAGATAATGGAAATGGTGAAGAGGTCAAAAATGGTTCAGCTCATAATTGAGTAAAAATTCCATTCAATATTACACCTTTGACCATGTCCATGGGATTTTCCATTTAAGTCACCCATTGTCAAAGGAGCTGCATGTAATGTTCAACAGAATTTTTATCATAATGACTGCATGTATTAGTCTCAAGGGTCAATCGTTAGTTGTCCACGTTTCGAGGTCCTCATTGTAAAGATGTTTCACGTCTTTTCAAAGTATAGGCCACAATCGTTAAGAAATAAACACAAGACTGGAATTTAAAAATACTGTTGTGCTTAAGGGTATGGACTTCCAATGTAATCAGCACTGAACTCAAAGCTTTACCACTATAAGCTTGTAAACAGCTGAACCATTATTTGCTTGTAAAATTTCAGTTCCTTTTGTTATTTACTTTGTGCATTTTGCTTTTTTTCTTTTTTCAATATTTTTAGGTTCTTGGGACGCAGTTATTTATGCTCACAGTTCTCAGCAATATCACAAGATACAGCTCACAGCCTATGGCACAGCAATTGTCAATGGCGACTCCTCTCATCAGTTTAATTCACTGCCGCCTCCCCCTCCACCTCCACCTTTCCATCATCAGCCACTTTTCAGTTCCTTTGGCTATCACAGAGCCAATAGCAATATAGAAGAACTACCATATGGACAAGGTAGTCTATCAACGCTTCTTTCTCTTTTTTGTTGCCCCTCTCAGGGTTTTCCCAAAAGCCAATCTCAATGTTCTTTCGGTTTTGATTTGAGAGCCATGAATTTCCTGGCTAGCCAAAAAACCTTAATGGTAAAATTATGTGTTCGCATTTCTGAATAAGTGACTTCTGGAAAACCCTGTGTCATCGGCTGTGCGGAAGAAATGTGCATTAACTTTCATGTGTTTCATTTTTTTTTACGTTCCTTGTTTTGGGGCCAGGAAAAGTTTCATTGTTTATCAGCAGGGTCACTGTGGAAAGATGTCGGTGAATTGATTTGATCGGTTGGAAGTGCCTAATTGTTTTGCGTCTTCAGGCCACATCTGACCAATTTGGTTTTATGACAGGAGCTCTGGGACATGTTGTCGGCACACCTCTGTGATCACGTGCGAGGTGGGGGGACATGATCCAACTTTTTTTAAACTGTGTCAGGAATCAGTCAGGATTAATGTGATATGTTCTTTATGCAGAAGCAGGAGATGAAAATTATACCGTTTGATTAGCAAGTGATAAAGATGGCAGATCTACTGTACTTTGCATGTAACATCTTTTCGTTATGGAGTAGAGTGATGTTGATCACACTAAATGGGGACTGGGGCCAATCATTCAATACAAGAAATGCACAGATTCTATAGAGGTGGGTGTCAAATCCATCATCACATATACAGGAGGAATAGGGGAGTACACTGGGATTCTGCTCGTATCCAGACAGCAAAATACAAAGCTACTCAAGGTTTGTACACAATATACTGCTGGGATGAATGGTCATCCAATGTGTCAGGAGTTCCAACCCATGGTAATAAATGACCTTGATCCTCCATCTCCAGAGTGGCTTTGGCCAAGGCTGAGGGACAAACTGTCTAATCACCTCTCAATGGGAGTTGATATCTACCCTATTCACATCACCCACTGTTTTATTATTGTACAATTTCTGTATCTCATCCTCTGCCTTCAATACACTATATTAATTCAATAACCCTCTATTGCAAATAGACAAAAAATTATATATTTAGCAATCTTTCTCTTTCAGGTGCTGAATGACCCCCAGTCCATCCCCAGTATTTTCCATTTTCATTTCAGATTTCCAGCATTTCCAATTTCTCTTTGTATCTTAACCACTGCTTGCACTTTGATGTTACTGTTGCTAAAACAACGCAAGGCAGTGGGATATTAAACGTGTGTATATGTGGCGGGGGTTGTTAGAGGCTTGTCATTTCTGTTCAGTGTGGGTGACTGCAAGAATTAGTGACTTTATCATGCCTCAACAAACAGAAAGTACTGGAGCTAAGAGCAAACAAGGCTCCTGACTGCAACTGGTACATCGACTCCAGTAACTGACACACAGGCAGCAGTATTGGAAGCCTTGCCCTGTAGAAGTAGAAGTGCTGAGGAAAGAAGTTGCTGCTGCTTGTATGTGCAGTATGTAGACTGTTTTAAAGAGCCTTTTCAATTACTGATCTTTGTGCTCAAAACGCAGGTGACAGCTTGGTTAAGAGGGTAGTACTGTCACCTTCCAGTCAGAAGGTTGTGAATACAAGGCCAGTTGGGACTTTGAACTCATTCTCTCACTGATACTCAAATCTGGGGGAGGTGCATTGTTATTATTGTTATTATAATTATTAATTATCATTATTATTATTGAAGTGCCTCCCACCTCCTCCCGCCCTATCCTGTGGCCTGGTGTGGGTGGGTGGCCTGTTGTGGCCCTCCAATAGACTAGAAGTTATTAACATTGCACATAGAATAACCAAAGGCTGTCATCCAATTGAGTGGAGTCCTGTAGCTCAGTGGTTACAGCACTTGCCTCACAAGCGAGAAGACCTGTCTGTCGATTCCCGGGCAGGGCGAAAAGTTGGGCAAGTTTCCTTATTCCAAACGCCTCTGTTCACCTAGCAGTAAGTAGGAACCCGGTTGTTAGTCGATTGGCGTATAACGTTTCTGGGGGTACTGATTCCTCCAAAAAAAATTAATAATAATATTAACTTGATCACTCAATCCACGACTATTTGTAGAACACTGCTGTGCGCAATGGGCTGCCACAATTCGGCCACAAATATACAGTCAATTCACTTTCCACTATATTCGGTGAAGCGCTTTGAGATGTCTCGAAAACATGATAAGGCACTATATCAAATGGAAGGATTATTGTTATTATAGATAAAAACCATTTTATATTTGAACTTCACTGGTTGCTTTTGATGTTGGTTGGATTCTATAGCCACATCACCCTTTGACCATATTTATTATCTTTCTATTTCATTTCTTTTCTATGGATTTGCTCTGCAGAAGCTTCATCATGGTCCTCAAAGGGGTTAACCTGGATTCCCAGGAAAGAACGTGAAAATGTCCTCTCGTTGTTTTCAGGAGGACAGAACTCCATAAAGATGACTTGCTGTGATAGAATCTGCTCAATGCTATAAATAAAATGGATTGATTTCCCTATCCCCCTTGCCCATCCCAGTTTATACAGCAGTTACACAGCCCTGATTTGCTGTGTTCACTGACACTGTAAACTGAGGAGGAAACTATATACAACAGAGGGCCACTGTGTTTGATTTCTGATATCTGATACTGCACTCTATCTCGCCAAGAGTGTTATACTTGGACACGTTTGTTGCAGACTTGTATAGAATTCCCCATTAGATGCATGTTCAGTTCCTGTTAAGAGCAAATTTGAGTTTGGACAGGACTGTCCAACAGCTCTCATCCAGATATCAAGTCTTGGATGAGAACTAACTTTCTTCAGTTGAACGTCAACAAGACCGAGGCTTTCCTGATTGGCTCCCGTCAACGCCTCCACACCTCAGGCGCTGACAGCATCACCCTCATACACACATTCATAACATCCAGACGTCACTATGCAAGCTCCTTGCTTGTCAGCCTCCCAACTCTTCCTTCCATAGGTTGCAGATCATCCAAAACTCTGCAGCCAGTGTCTTCTCTCACACTAGGCTCTGTGACCGTATCCCCCCATCCTCGCCCGACTCCACTGGCTTCCCATCACAAAGAGGATACAGTTCAAGATCCTGGTCCTATCCTTCAAAACCCTCCATGGTCTTGCTCCCCTAACTCTGTGACCTAACACCCTACCATCTTGCTCGCTGCCTCCACTCAGCGGGCTCCAGCCTGCTTCACGTCCCCTGCCTCACCCATTGGCAGGCAGACATTCTGCCATTTTGCCTCACCCTCTGGAACTCCAGCCCACAGTTCCTCTGCCTCACCTCTCCCTTAGCTCCTTCAAGACCCATTTAAAGACCCTCCCCTTTGATTGCACTTTCGATCATCCTGCTTCCCCCTCTGCCCTCTACTTCCCCAATCCCTATCCCCAGCTCGGGTCCAAAACACTGACTGTCCAGCGCTTTGGGATGTCATCCTGACGTGAAAGGCACTATACAAATGTAATTTTCTTATTGTTGTTGACTGATGATACTGCTATACCCCTTTCTTATGGACCTTTACTGGATACAATATGGTTTTCTGAAAGATGTCGAAAAGCTGTTCCGTATGACAAAGGAGTTTAAGCAAATGTGACATGGTGCATGTGAAGATTAAGGTTAACTTCACAGATGTTAGAGCTTTAAAATGTTGCCTTGCTCTGCCCTGGAGCTGTGCTAAGGTGATATCTGAGACCAGTGTGGGCCTGTGCTTCATGTTAAAAGAGTAAGGTGGGTATTTCGCTGGCAGCCTAGTGGTTTTAAGTCACCAATGTCTGATGTCTATGCAACATTATCCCTATTGATTGACTGCTTACGCCCATTCAGTCAGGTAGTGCATTAGTCAAGCATCCATTCCCCATAGTAAGATAGCAACTATATATCATTTTTTTCCATCAGTCTAGTGGCCATGGGCTGATCCTGCCTGGCAGATAAGTGGCAATGTATGTGATGAAGTGCAAATAAATATAGAGAAGACAGAGGAAGGATTATACACATGCCGTATAATCTACTACAAGGTATCAGTGGGAAAAAGTCCAGCTTTATAATAGTAATAATCTTCGTATTTGATATAGCGCCTTAATCACGTAGTTATGAGGTCTCAATACGCTTCACAGAATATGCTGGAACATGGATTGACTGTATTTTCTGGGCAAAACGCAGCAGCCAATTAACCCTTTATATATGGCTTTAAAAGAATAGCAGCCTTTCCTACAATGCTGTTTATAATTGAATGTTTAAGTAACTCAGGAGAATTGAAAACTGCAATTCAGAAAGACAGTTTTTTTTAATATACATTCCATCCCACATAAAGAATTTCTTTCTATCAGAATTCTGCATGAAGCAGTAGGCACTTTCTGCTTGGATTTACTTTTATTCATTCACTCTTGGTCAGAGATTGAGGGTTCAAGGCCCACATTGGGAGTTTGAACTCACAGTCTAGGCTGACACTCTAGTTCAGTGCTAGGGGAGAGCTGTTTTGTTAGAGGTGTTGAGGAGTTAGGTTAGAAGATCAGCCATGATCTTATTGAATGGCGGACAGGCTCGAGGGGCCGAATGGCCTTGTCCTGCTCCTAATTCCTATGTTCCAATGTTGTCCTTTGGATGAAATGTTAAACTGAGGTCCCTTCTGCCTTCTTAGGTGGAATGTAAACATCCTGTACACTATTCAAAAAATGAAGGAAGTTTCTCCCAGAGCCTTGGCCAATAATCTCCCAGATAAATTGCTAATTTATTTGATAACTGTTTTAGGACATGGTTGTGTGCAAATTGGCTGGCACGATTCGCTACAAAAACAGTCACTGAAGTGTGACGTACTTTGAGACATTTTGATATTATGGTGCTGCATGAAATGCAAGGATTATTGCTAGTGTTTAATTGTAAAACATGATTGTGAATGACATCATTGCGTGAGGACCTGTTTATTGATAACGATTTTGTGCTGTCACAAATGAAGGATTATATGGAGCTTCCTCTGCCCTTTACCTCTGAACATTAACGAGTGCCATGTGAACTTAAGTATGCTTCATTAGACATTTCATGAGTACTTTTTCATCAGAAACTAACAAGTGAAATATTCATTGTGCAGTAACGTTCACAATGTACTGATGCAACAGGAAAATTTCATTCTCAATGCATACCATTGCTGCTTGTTTTAGTGGCACCTCTGGTTACTTTCCATTACTGAGTAGGGAGGACTGCACTGGCATTCTCCAAGGCCTGAAATTCCTCCACAGACCTAGCCTTAAGACCATTAAATTTAAAATCAAGCACATTATGAAAGACTTCACTTTGGAAACCGAATTCCTGGTGTTCTTAAAAAGACCTTTGGAAAAACAGCTGGCAAAAAGTGAACTTAAGAATTATTCATGATTCTGAAGGGGTTTTAAAGTTGAATTGAAGGTCACAGGTTCCTTATCAGGAAACTGAATTAAAGGTGTACTGTGACTGCTGTGCTGAGTGGAGTCTGAGTTTCACTGTAGAGTTGACCCATTTCATAGCTCTGCTACAAGAGGAATTGATTCATTGTCGCAGGTTCGCCAAGGTGGAAGGGAAGAGTGGTGGGAGGAGAATAGAGAGACAGGTTAGCACCTCCCATCTTAAATGGTTTAGTGTGGAGTAGTTAATTGTGAATAACCTGTCACCCAGACATGGTCATCCTCTTGCACCTTGGAACTGTCGCTAAAGATTTCTATCATCCATAGATGATAGAAATGGTTAAACTGTAGTGAGAGTGAAGAAACTATTCAGATTTAGAAAGGAGAAATTTCACCTTGACCTAGTCTGCAAGATTATTTTGCCTTAAAATGTAAGATGACATAGAATTGTGGAACATTCTTCCATTCAGTCTTAGTTTGCAAGTTGTTTCTTGTTAAGGACTGTGGAGAAAACGGCTTCCTAATGAAAACGGAATGTAAGAACTTTTCCACAATTCCCGTGATCCTGAATATTAAGTATAAAATGTTTTCTCAGGCTGAGTCTAGATCCAATCTTATGCCTCTAATGTCTTCTGTTCATCAACATGGGTCTCGTACTATGTGAGCTGGAAATTATTTATGTGGGCAATTTCCAAATATCTGATCTGAGAAGCTGAATTAGTTTTATTTGCCAGTTCCACAGAATTTTGTAACACAAAATTAAATGCGTCAGATTATTCCTTTCTATCATTTGAGTTTGGGGATTAAAAGTTTTTGCACGTCTTATTGCTGTTTTCAGTTTAATAAAGTGCCTTGCTGTTATCGTGCAGAATAGAGTACAAAGCGTGGTCTGGAATGTAGGTGATTTTGAAAATTAAAATAAAATTCCGGATTTCGATGACATTCCTGCAGGTTCTCGAGGTTCCGAATCCAGCCCTTCCCAACCATCTCCAGTGCAGCCAGCCACCACTACCACAGAGGAGATCTGGGTGCTGCGAAAACCGTTTGCAGGTAGATTGAGCTAAAACCCTTCCAACTGCAATTCATTTCACCATCACTAATCACTGTTGGCATCCTCCACTCACTCTCAGTGGATATGGGTCATAGTTTGAAAGTGCTTTGGCGTCTGAACCCCTCCTCCCGAATCTCATCCCCCATTAGTGTAATTCATCAGTTTATCTCTATGGAGCTATTTACACAAAGTTACTTGAACTTAAGTAAGTCACTTGTACCTTGTTTAGAGCCACGTTTTTCACTTCTAGTCAAAATCCTGCTCCAGAAAGGCACAGCTATTGGTGACTCAACTGTGTCATACTAAAACCTAGCAGCAGTGAAACGGATAACTTACCCCATCTCCTCCACTCCCTACAAACCAAGGACACTGAAGCCATTTACAGAAACTCCAGTATCTCCCAGGCTGAGATCAGTTAACTCAACACAAACCATGCCTTTCTGTTGTGGAAATGCGTGGCTCAGCTTCACATCAGCTCATGGCTTTGCAAAAAGAGCCTTTGGACAAGCCTGGATAACAAGCAATATGCAGTAAGAAAAAAAAATCTAAATGCTTAACACAAAAAGATTAATTCAACTGCTAAGGAGTAAGATGGTAAATAAAATTTGCTAAATTTAACAGGCTTCTTTTTAGATTAACTAGATGCTTGTGATTAACTAGAGGGCATCATTACACAAGGAAAACCCAAGATCCAGTGTGTGTGTGTATATACATGTGAACGATGGTGAGTTTGTTTTAATCATTGACCTGTTGTGAATGTAAAGTCTGAATGGATATAAGGTGCCTATTAATGCTCATCACAAAAAGAATCATTACTAAGGCCAGTGTTTGCAATAACAGTGCATTTAGCTGAGTACTCCCAATACAATACAAATTACACTTGTATAGCGCCTTTCACATCGGGAGGACGTCCCAAGGCGCTGGACAGTCAGGGATTTGGACCCGAGCTGGGGGTTGGGTTTGTGGAGAGTAGGAGGGTGGCCGAAGGCACGGTCGAAGAGGAGGATTTTCAGACACGCCTTGAAGGAGGCAAGGGAGGGAGCGAGTTGAAGGGAATGTAGGATGGAGTTCCAGAGGGTGGGAGCAGAGAGGCTAGAGGCCCGACCGCCGATGGTGGGCAGGCCAGAGCCTGCTGAGCAGAGGGAGCAGGTTGATATGGAGTCAGCAGGTTGCAGAGGTGGGGAGGGGTAAGGCTGTGGTGGGCCTTGAAGGAGAGGACAAGGAATTTGAACTGTATCCTTTGTGTGATGGGAAGCCAGTGGAGCCGAGTTAGAGTGGGGGTGATGGTGTCACGGAGCCTGGTACAGGAAAGGACACGAGCTGCAGAGTTCTGCAGAGCTTGTAGAGGGAAGAGTTGGGAAGGCCGACAAAGCAGGGAGTTGGCATAGTCGAGCCTAGATGTGATGAATGCATGGATGAGTGTTTCAGCAGCCTGATGGTGAGGCACTGGCGGAGCCCCGTCTTGTTGACGTTCAGCTGTAGAAAGTTCGCTCTCATCCAAGATTTTATGTCTGACAGACATTCTGTCAGCACAGTAGTGGGTTTTGGAGTCAAGGGCGGAGGCAGAGAGATACAGTTGGTGTCATCCACATACATGTGGAAGTTGACCCCATGTCTTCGGATGATGTCACCAAGAGGGAGCATATTAGATATTGAAGAGGAGGGGACCAAGGACAGAACCTTGAGGAACGCCGCACAAGACGGTGCGAGGGCTGGAGGAGAGACGGTGCAGGGGCTGGAGTAGAAACCGTTCGTGGAGATGAAGTTGAGGCAGTGTGAGAAGTATGATCTGAACCATTCAATGACAGAACCATGTAACTCTAGAGTCTCCAAGTCTCTTGCCAGTGTGTGCCTTGAACTCCTCAGCATTAGTTGAGCAGCGTACATCCTTCAGAGGCTAGACTGTGGACTCCATATCAGACAATGGAAACCATACATATGTGGAACTTTCAGCGTTTGGTTTGGAGTCTTTTAAGCATAGTGATGGGTTTCTGTATGGGTCAGACACCTGGCAAACACAAAACAAAAGTAAATTTTACCGAGATTACATTTTTTTAGTGTGTGGGAATTCAGGATTTGATGCTATCTTTCCCATATTGCAATAATGTGTTAAGCGAGTGCCTATTTGAAAAGCATCTTTGCAGTGGAAAATGAAAGCCTTTAATGCTTTGAATGAGGGAAGTTTATTGGGAAAATAAACGCTGTTGGCACTTTAGTGCTGTGCGAGTTACTGGAAGGGTAAGAGGGTTCATGCAGTGCCCTATATTCACACAGTGCTTTATTAAAATGTGACCAATAAAACAAATTATGTCATCACTACATTTAACTTCCAAACTCCATATTTCTTCCAAGCATCTCCTGGCAAACCTGTGGACAAAAGTAGACACAATCACAGACATACTTCTCTCGCTGAAATTTACCTGAACCTTTGAACCAACCTGATTTTTATAGAAAGTCAAGAATTGCCGAAGAGAAAACAATTATTTGGCACGAAAGCAAAATCAATTCAGACTGGGAATACTTTCTTTTATTCTCTTGGCCGGGGTACAATATTAACATTTCCTGATTTTCTGTAAGAACATAAATGACTTGACATTTCACCTAGTCTGAGCCTTAAAATTGTTTCTTTCATTTTGTCTTAAATTTCAGATGACGCAGAATTGTGGCACGTTCTTCAGTTCAGTTTAAATGTGGAAGCTGGTTTTCTGGGGTATTAAATATTAAAGCAAAATCGTCCCACAGATGGAATTTCAGACATAATTTCATAGAATCTGGATCAATGAGGCAGCTCCAAGCACTTCTAAAACTATGGATTGTTACATTGATCTTTTCTGAAAGCTTTAAATTATAGTCTATTTTAGTAAGTGAAAGCAATAGTCCTTCATCCCGATATCCAATGTAATTTTTGCTTAAGGAAATCTTTTGCTATGTCTGTTTTTTCCATGTGCAGGTGGAACTCTGTTTGGTTTGGAAAATCTTAAGCATGGTAAAGGATTTCCACATGTGTTAGACACACAGCTGACCAAAAAAAAATAATTGACATGAAAGGGCTTGGGTAAAACCGTCAATCTGTCTTAGTGTCAGGGCAAACGTGAAGTGGCTGAGTTTCTGTGTGAGGCTCAATGGTTTCCAAGGTGTCGGCTCTGCTCAACTGGTAGTATTCTCACCTGTGATTCAGAAATTGTGGGTTGGGGTCTCATAGTCCAGGCAGACACTCCAGTGCAGTTCTGGAGGAGCGATGCATTGTCGGAGGTGCCGTCTTCACGTGAGATGTTAAAAAGAGGCCTGTAGGGGTGTACGTTAAAGATCTCGTAACACTATTAGGAAAGAGAAGGGCGTTTCCTGGCCAACAATACTGCAAAATCAATTGGTTATTCACATTCTAACAGATTGATGGTCGTTGTGTGCAAATCTCCTACAAATACACAATCACTACACTTAACAGTAAGTGCTTTAAGTTTATAGCAATTGCAAGGATGAATATCATTCACAAAAGTTGCAATGTTAGGTGTAAACAATAGCGCTTTATGTGGTTTCCTTATCAGAAGCTGCAAGACTGATCTGCAGTCAATATTAATAGCATTAGTGTAATTATTGTTGCACACAAACTAAAATTCCACCCTGTGCATCAAGCCTACCCACTGGCTGTGCGCTCTGGAGTTCCCACTGGTCCAAGTGACCCATTAGTTATCGGTACGAGTTGCTGTTTGCACTTCTGTTATGACTATTGTTTTTAGACCCCAAGCACTTGCCAAGGGCAGAAGCTGAAAGAGATCCAGAGGTATTACTTGACTCATAGTTCACTGTGTCAAAACAGTGTGAGGCAGCAATAAGCAAGGTAAATGGGATGTTGGGCTATATTGCCAAATCAGTTAAGTTCAGATCCGCAGAAGACATACTCAAGCTGTACAGTGCACTGGTCAGGCCACACCTAGAGTACTGCATACATTTCTGGTCACTACAACATAAGAGAGATACCCAGCAGCAGTGTGGAGGAAAGGAACTAAGATGAACCCCAGTGTTAGAGGAACTAGTGATGTGCAACAATCAGACAAGTTAGGGCTCATCAAGAATAGTGGTCTCAGAAAGGACCTTGTAGAATAATGGTAGTTTTGAAATGGGATTGACAAACTAAACCTAGAACAATGTGTTTGGATGTGCCAAGGAGCAGAACAAGAGGACACAGGTTTAGAGTTGAAAAGGACAATTTCAGAACAGACTTTAGGAAGCATTTCTTTACTCAGCGGGGATTTAGTGATTGGTTATCAACAAGGATGGTTGAGACCAGGACACTGGGGCTCATTGTTTTAAAGAAAAACAGCTTGTTGCTATGATGAGAGGACAGCTGGGCGGGTGTATTCTGGATGGATAAGATAAAATGGTCTGAGGTCTTCATCCAAAGCGATGATGAGATCATGTGAAGTAACAATGGTTGGAAGCTGGGGATCGCTGGTCTGAGGGACATCATTCAGGATGCAATCTGCATGACTGGTAGTCCTACTACAGGAATACGCTCGGCTAGTGTCTGGATTCAGAACCGCTTGCCTTCTCCTGATTTCAGGTGGAGACCGGAGCAGTGTGGGCAGTACGGGAAGCGTGGCCAGCGTCCGGAGTTCTGGGAGTGGACAAAGCGCGGGGAGCACTATTCCAATTGATGGAAACAAGGTTTGTAATTATCACATGCACCAAAGGTTGATTTAATACAAAGTTTGTTTCAATTTATTGCATCACATTTCGCCCACAAAATACACAGTCAATTCACTTTACAGTATATTCTGTGAAGCGCTTTGAGACGTCTTGAAGACATGATAAGGAGCTGTATCAAACGCGACTATTATTATTATATTTAATACCTTTCCGGTGGGGAGGATGTCCCAAAGTCCCATGTCAGGACTTTGAATTCACAGTCTAGGCCTGGGGTCTCCAACCAGTTGATTGTCGCAAGGTGGTGTATCAAACATGCTCAATAAAAATAAAGAGCAATATTTACTGGTTTAAACAAAAATAGTTTATATTTTTATTTCCAGATGCATGAAATACTTTGTGCATTTCAACTTTTCAACTTGGCTAAATATTTGCACAGTTCTATCACTCCTTCCTCTTGTCTTTTTGATCATGCTTGACTGCGTTACATAGCAGCGATCAACCGGTTAGAGACCACAGGCCTAGACTATGAGTTCGAAGCTCAAAGGTCTAGGCTGATGTTCCAATGTTGTGCTGAGGGTGTGATGCATTGTCGGAGGTGCAGTCCTTCAGAAAAGATGTTAAACTGAGGTCCTTAGGCGCTATATCAAATGCAAGGATTATTTATAGTGGAAACATTTTCAATTTCATCTTAATTTGGACCTGTTTTCCATATTTCTTATGAAGAAACCAGCTTCTAGAAACCAGCTGAATTTACAAATTCTCCACAATCAACAACAACAAGAAATTACATTTGTATAGTGCCTTTCACGTCAGGAGGACATCCCTGTGCAATTTTCCATTTTAAGACGAAACGATCTTTCAAAATGGAATTTCTGATGTGCTGTAGAGCACACATTACAAGACAAGGCAATGCATCACCAGTCTGCTTACAAAGCTATTTACCCAGCAACTCGTTTCCAATGGAAACTTCTATCAACACTGTGCCGACGTATCCTGTGAATGGTCTAATTAAGATTTCATCATTACTTCATCTAGTTAAAATCGCCCAAAACAAGACCTCCGGTTCTATAACGATTTCCTTTCCTCCCTTCTTGCTATTACAGCTACTGCAGACAGTCCTGACCCAGAAGGTTTCTGCGGCTGAGACAGCAGGATGCGAGGGGATTGCCAAATCAGACCAGCCTGCAGGTATGATTTGTATTACTGTGTCGAGCCCGAGCCTTGTGATAACGTACACAAACAACCTCCTGTTTTTGGTGGCTTTGGTGAGGCTGCAGACCCACATGAAAAGGACGGCAGAGTACCCTGTGGGTTTGCCTCAGATTTTGCAGGGCACATTTGGTCACTGGATCCGTTTAGAACAGGAGCCTGAGACACAGGGGTAAGTAGGTATTGATGGGACGGGCTCAGGTGTTAACTGAAGGCCAAGAGCAATTCCATCAGTGTTTGCTTAAGCTAGAGATGCACCGCAGTATTATTTGGATATTTCTGACAGAGACAATGACATCTTGAGGAACAGCTTTAAAAGAAACTGCATTAATCACTTGTGGGAATTGTACTGCGAGAAAGAAAGGCAATTTGGCCTAGAAATCTTAATTAACGTAAAGATTTAGTTATCAAGAATGTAATAGGAATTGTATTATCAATAGAGAAGTTGTGCATTCTTACTGAGAGGCACAGCACAGTGTGGAAAGCACTGATCCAGGCTTGCCTGGTACTGTGTGCTGTTCTGTACCTGTTCTAACAGTAGCCAGAGCTTGGCATTGTAATCCTGTAGCGAGCCACACAGGGAGCTTCTGCGTGTCACACTGATAGTGCCAGCAGTGGCAACAACAACACAACAACGACAAGTTACACTTGTATAGCGCCCTTTATTACATCGAGGCAAACTTCCTGCTTATCGACCTTCCCAACTCCTCCCTCCACAGGCTGCAGATCATCCAGAACTCTGCAGCCCGTGTCCTCTCCCTCACCAGGCTCCGTGACCCTCTCACCCCCATCCTCGCCCAACTCCACCGGCTTCCCATCACACAGAGGATAAAGTTCAACATCCTGGTCCTCATCTTCAAAGCCCTCCAGGCCTTGCTCCCCCCACCTCTCTGATCTCCTAACCCTCTATCACCCTGTTCGCTCCTTCCGCTCAGTGGGCTCCAGCCTGCTTCACGGTCCCCACCTCGCTCACTCCACTATCGGCCAGTGGGCCTTCCGCCACTCTGCACCCATCCTGCAGTCCTCCGTCTCGTCCCCTCCCTCGCCACTTTCAAGACCCTCCTCTTCGACCGTGCTTTTGATCTCGCTGCTTCCCCCTCCACCCTCCCTCACCCCAACCCTCAACTCGGGTCTGTCCAGCACCTTGGGACGTCCCAAGAGCTTTGGGACGTGAAAGGCGCTATACACATGTAATTTTGTTGTTGTTGTTTATGTTGGAAAGACATTATAAGGCGCTGGACAGTCAGGGTTTTTTTTGACCCGAGCTGGGTGTTAGGATCAGGAGTGGTGGAGGGCAGAGACAGGTGTGGAGGTTGAACAGACAGGCTGTTGAGGTGGTGATTGCTTGGCCTCTCTTAGAGCTCACTTGTCTTTCTTCAGGAGTTGGGGAGGAATTTCTCAGAGACATATTTTTGACCCAGAATTGGTCTGGAGATCTTGTTTTTGTCTCTCTCACTGATTTTGCCTACCCTAGAAGGGAACTGGGTGGCCAACACCTGAAGAGAACCATAGTTTGGATGGAAGGTGGAATGGGAAGAGAGTGGACTAAACAATCTCAAAGGGAGAGTGGATTATTGGCCTTGGAGGTGGTGCAGAGCAGATTCATCAAAACTCTCCGTCATGCTACTTAAGTGGTTTTATCCTGAGGTCCTAGCCAACAGTCTTCCAGATAAATTGGTCATTCATTTCACGGCAGTGTGTGGACTTTGCTGAGTGTAAATTGGCTGCCGTGTTTTAGTCTGCAAATACACAGTCTCCATACTTGACAATAGTTACCTGTGAAGCATTTTGAGATGTTTTAGTATCATAGGGGTGATACAAAGCATAAGTATTACTATTATTATCTAGCACAGCAACAATTACTGAAGTGAAGACAGGCTCAGCGGTGAACTCCAATGGGAAAGTTCAGAAAAGATTAAAAATAATCCATTGTTTTATTATAAAAGGAATGAGGGTTTCATGAAAAAAATGCATGAATGTGATTAGTTCTGCTCTAGAGTAAGTAAAGTTTTCATGGTTACACGATAAAATGCTGCCTTAGCTTACTGACCTGGAACAAACAAATCTTTTACAAATGTCGCTTTGATTTTTAGTGTATGATTTTTAGTGGAAATGTTTCAGTGCCTTGATATGTTGTAAATGTAGTCTAGTGAAGAGCTGGCTGAGCGAAAAGGGTCCTCTTTATAATAGCCTCCTCTAGCTCGTTCAGGTACTGAAGGAGTTAAGGTGCCAGGGCTTTTCATTCTGTGTGAGTGCACATGAAACCCAAATCTTGCTTATTCCTGCCTCCTTCTCAGCATTACTGCCATCAAACCCTGGAAATATCCAGAGAACCAAGGTCATTTTATTAATGTAGGGAAACTCTTTTGAATGGTGATGGATTTCCATGTTTGTCAGATACCCAGCTCGCCAAAATCAAGTTACATGATGCCAGAGGACTGAGGAACCAAAATTACAATGGACAGGCAAGGAGATTCTGTGAGAAGGAAGGAGAGGTGGAGATGTCCTCTAAGCTCAGGGGTCGGGGTGGGTGAGAGGAAATACGCTGAGGAAAATGAAGAAGACGCCATAAAATCTGAAACAATTCAATACGCTGGTGACAGATGGTTGGTTGCCTTGGTGCAATGTTTATATGTCCAGCTGTCTGTTTGGCAGATGGTGCTGAATGATGGGGAAGAGCTTCCCTGTTTGAATATTTGTTGAATCAAGACTCCTAGCATCACTGTCATAGAATCATAGAATTTTACAGTACAGAAGGAGGCTATTGGCCCATCATGTCTCTACTAATTCTTTGAAAGAGCTACCAACTAGTCCCATTACCCCGCTCTTACCGCATAGCCTTGCAAAGTTTTCCTTTTAAATACTGTTAAGTGGATTCATTGTGTATTTTGTGGGCGAAATATCTGAAAGGACAGGGTAGGGCATACATACTTGCATTGCTCATCCAATGGCCTAGTTAGTAAAGGCACTACTAATCTTAATCTAGTGCTGCAATAAACCTCATGTACCTGGGTAAGAGAGGGTTAAATCAGCCAGGGTCACTCACCTGATCACTGTCCAGTGACACCCCTCTCATCCCACCCACCCCAATTCTTCCTCCTCTGTTGGCTGAGGATAAGATTTCTTCTCATTAAGATTTCATCTTATTGCTAAAATTTCACAAGATCTCAGCGGATACAAGCATTTCAAGAGATGAGGAGGGGTGAAAGCTGGAGGTGAAAAATGTGCTGAGTGAAAGAGAAAACACAAGCGATTCTCTTTGTTAATACTTGAGAGACGAGCGTCAAAAGACTGTTCTAAAATGAGCTCAGGCAACATGGGTTCTGAAGCCGGGGAAGTGCAGAGGCTGCTGACTACTGACCTCAATCAATGGGCTCCCCATGGAGTAGAATAGCACTGACGTCAGGTGTTCCCAGATCAGCCTACAGCGTGCTTCATGCCTGTTCTGAACCCAGAGGGCCACAGTAGGAACTGTGTTTACAATTATAAATAGATTGTTTCTGCTGTCTCTGCGAATAGACCGATTAGTTACACACAAACCGATTATCCACAAGTCGCACAGCAGGGATGTGACCGGGGGGCTGCGGCTTGACTAGGTGAGCTAGTGAACGGACATTGTCTGAGCTTTGTGTTTACACCATGTTGGGTCACATTTAAGGGCACATTTGTGCTATTTTTAGATTCAACTAAAATATTTATTTTGGCTTTAATTTTCCTCTTGAAATGCGGCTCCAATCTTAAAGGGGCCAGTCAACGATGCAGCTAATTTCTGAATCATCTTGTTTTCTTTCCCGTCCAACTCTCTCCCTTACTCTTCTGAAGGTGCTGATTTATGCTGGTGTACAGTCTCCTTTGAACCCGCTCCCCAAGTAATCACTGGCCGTGTGTGAGCCCAGATACAGTGACAACACACTATTCAGCCATGCATGGTCATCACAACTGTCAACTGTGCTCAAACCTACCTTTACCTGATGAGGTAGCATTAGAGAAAACTGAAAGGACCTCATGTCCACATGTATGTGCTTTGCACCAGGAGGAGAGGATCTACTAGACAGTGAGTCGGAAACCTGGCAGATATCAGATATCTTTCTCATGAGCAGAGTTCTGGAGGGCAAATGGGATCATACCCAATGGCTACAAAAGAGGAAGGGGAAAACATTGAAGAGAGGGGTGAGAGGAAATACAGACCTTCTCCAAAAAAAGCTGTGTGCACGCACCCCAAACACAAGGTCAGAAGCCTTGAAAAGCAGTATTGTTTGCAACTTCACTTTAGCGTGGAGTAGGGGTTGTGCGATGCAGAAAACTTGGAGAAAATATTCATAGATAGAAGAATAGGATTACAATCATTAGCCAAAAGTAAGCAGAATTTGGGGACGGGATTCATCTGACTAAAGTTACCGTGCGTGTTTCCATCACTGCAGTGTGTGTGTGTGTGTTTGTGTTTGTGACACTACTAACCTTGCTGCTCTCCTTTGGTTCCCGGTTATAACAGGATCTTCCCGGTCACAGAGTGCATCCAGCTCCCCCTTCGTGGACCAACCATATAGCGAGCAGCAACTGAAGAAGCCTGATACACCATTGGACGTGAAGGTAAGGTACCTTGTGACCAGGATTGCAGGTCTCATAAATCTCCAACAATAAAGAGCAACAGTCAGACAGGCTTGCTTCGCTTTTCTCCTTGCTGTGTGCTATGTTAAAACTCCAAGGGTAGGTTATTGCCCATTACACTTATACACAGAGTAACTGATGACTGGATTGGATTACCAAACAACAAGAGAAATCCCTTCTCTTTTTGAGTAGTCCTGTGGGATCTTTAACATCCACTTGAATTGGCAGAACTCAGTTTAATGTCTTATCTGAAAGACAGCACTTCAGACAATGCAGCACTCCCCCAGGACTGTATTGGGAGTATCAGCCTAGACGGGGAGCTCAAAGTCTCGGGCTTCAACTCGCAACCTTCTGACACAGAGGTGAGAGTGCGAGCAGCTCAGCCAAGGCTTCTATAGAAACAGAATCTTTTCAGGCTATGCTAACATTAGGTTTGATAGATTGATAGCCAAGATCTTCCATTAGCTCAGTTTATATCATGTGTGAGACTGATGTCGTTTCTCAAAATCAAAGAGCTAAACTGAAAACACTACATATGACCAGCGTGCCAATTGTCATCTTAAAGAGAACAGTGGGTAAATATTTCACACGGGATCTCTTCATCAGAAACCATCTGCCCCCATTCTGGAGTTTTGGGCGATGTCTGTTAACCCTTTCCCTGCTGAATGCTCTTTGTAGCGAGCACCTGCCTAAGAGTGGGTTCCATGCTGGATAGCACTTGCAGAATGTCAAGCGAATGCAGTTAATTAAATTTGTGACACAGACCACATTTCCTTCTCTGTCCTGCCACTGACTTATACTGCCTGTGGCATTTCAAGCTCTGGGTGTTGTTTTCCTGTTGCTCCTGCCTTATTCAATAGCCTTTCATATTCGCTTCTTCAAAATGTCACATAGGAGCAGATGGTTTCTCTCATAGTCCCCAGAAAAATAAAGGTTTATCTGACCAAGGGCAATCACATTCAAATCCAGCCATTTATTGTTTAAAGGGCTTAAGTTCTAAGGATCAACTGATTTTACCAGCTTTATTTTTGCCAATAAATTCACCCCCTCTCTTTCATGTATGAGCGCAGACATTATATTGATAAATATATTTCTATATTGACAAGAAATATTTTTAAGCACTCTGGGATACTAGCTACCCTGTGTGTGGGTTGCTATATAACTGCAAGTTCTTATATTATTTAGCCATGGAAGGTGTTATGTCCCAGTGCAAAGCTGTCCTCACGTGGTGTCAAAGCCACATTTCATTAGAGGCTTCCCTTGAAAATCATCTCAACTGAGAACAACCTCAGAAGCAGCACCTTCTCCACGACATATTTAGGCAGGGGATATTTTCGCAGTCTAGGTTGACATTCTAGTAGAGGCTGAGGGAACACTGTGATGTCAGAAGTACTATCCTTCAGATAAAACAAGTGCAAACTAGGCTTGGCCTGAGATAAGGAAAACCTTTTCCTCGCAGACGGTAATGGAACACAGAAATACAGAGATCAGAATTCAGTTGAGGGTTTTAAAAGAGACTGATAAATACCCCTAAGGAGTAAAACTTTAAGGGATATGGTGGGGAGATGGGATTAGAGGAGGTTTGTATTTGTGAGTCGTGGAGCTGCCTTAAGGGACTGAATGGTCTTCTGTTCATAATTTCTTATGTTCTTCATCAACTCTCTGTTGATATGAAAACTAATTGCACTGTTTCTTGTCCAACTCATTCCTTTGCAAATTCTCAAAGCTGTAGCACACTCCTCACTCTCCCTCAGTCTTCTCTTACAATCTGAAACCTTTTAAAATCCAAGATTGGCATCATTTTATTATTGGTTCCTGATTTACTTCATCCTATCTATTGTTATGATCCTTGACATTGTTCTGTGGGTGTTAGCTCTTGATCCATTTGGATTAAAGTCTCCTCTCTCTGACAGCTATAGTGGTCATCGTTAATGTGAGGCTTATATGGAGAGGTTTAAAAGGCCGAGTGCCTGAGGGAAATGAAAAATGTCACATTAATGCTGCAGGTTGCTGTCCCAAGCTGAGACTGAACAAACGCGTGGAGCAGCATAGAAGCTTTAGTCTTGATCTGACTGCTATTGCTAACCTGCAACTGCTCAATGCTGGCATTGGGATGAGAAGAGGACATATTCCCCAGTACTAACCTTCCTCACCTTGCTAGTTTCTTTTGAATATTTTATTCATCTCGGATTATTAAGAGAAAAAAAACACAAAATGCCTGATTTGTAAATGTACATTCTTGAATATTAGGAATTCCTGCCTTGTGGGTAATGAATTTTACTTTGTCTGTGTCAGACTAAAGCAATTTCAGAACAATTTGATCTCTGTGATCACCCACACCAGTCACAGAGAAGATACAGCTTGACAAATGGCAGCAAGCTGATGCTATCTTATTATCCTCCCTCTCAAAGCATCATTACATTGTTTTCAAAGGTCAGTGTGTTTTAAAGTACAATCATGCTCAGGTGTCAAGCAGGCAGCTTCTAGCTGGAATGTGCTCAGGCTTGATGGTGCTTAGCATAGTATTGAAGGCAGTGTTCTGCAGCATGATGGAACATACAATAGATTTGTCTGGCACGGAACAGTTTAAGGACTTGTTATGATCATGATCATATAAAGATAAGCTTGCAGAGCATTCTGTATTTGCTTTGCACACCACCTTATGACTGCATTCTTTATTGGTGCAGATAGAGAGTAGGTTGGTGAAAGGCCACTGGTTGTTGACATACCCACTGTGACAATTATAATGTTGATGTGATAATACATCCTTTTTTAATACGTTGTGTCCTGTTATGTTATGGGGCATGAGCTGTTGCATAGACATAACCTTAACTTCCTTTCTGTATGTGATTTTATTTAAGAATGCTTTGGCTTCAATGCTGAGTTCTAAGAGCATTACCAAGGGAACTATTGGGATAGAACAGTGGTAACCACATACATTTTTCCTTATTGAATCTTTAATCATTTATGGATGTGCTGAAGGTATCACGGCTCATTAGTTACCGGAAACAAGCAATTTATTGTGGAGTCCTGTAGCTCAGTGGTTAGATCACTCATCTCGCAAGTGAGAGACCTGGGATCCATTCCCGGAAGGGCGAAATGTTGGGCAAGTTTCCTTACTCCACACACCTGATAATAATCTCTCAAGAAAGATAAACTGGTTACTTCAATCCACGGCTGTTTGTGGGACACTGCTGTGTGCAATTGGCTGCCGCGTTTCGCCCACAAATATACAGTCAATTCACTTTACAGTATATTCTGTGAAGCGCTTTGAGACGTCGAGAAGACATGATAAGGCAGTATATCAAATGCAAGGATTATTATTATTATACTCTTATTTGGACTGTTTTGGGGCTTCGCTAAGCCGCGTATTGACAACACAACAAATTGCATTTATATAGCGCCTTTCACATCGGAAAGACGTCCCTGGTTACATGACACTGATGCAGTGGCCTGTGGACCACTTTTGGGATGTCAAGAAGTGACCCCTCGAATACCCGCACCAGTCCAGGTAAGTCTGCACCAAATTAATACCTTTTTTCCAGTGGCTACAAAACCCCTCCCCCACCACCAATATCAGATAAAATTCAGCTCATTCATTTCATTTCAACCAAAATGGAACAGATAAATTGGTCATTAACCTCCAGGCTGTGTGTGGGCCAGTATTGTCCGAAAATTGACTACCACTTGGAGCACCAAATACAGTCACTGCACTTATCAGTAACTAGCTGTACCCGTTGCAGCTTCACTTGCAACCAAAGGATCCAATATGGAATGTAGATTAACACACGTACAGACACACAGACAGACATTTCGTCTTTATACTCATCTGGGAGGACTCCTGCGGGAGGACTCTGTGAGGGAAAATATATAAAAGGAGTCCTCCCACTGTCTCTGTTTCTGTGTCTCTCTCTCTCTCAATCTCTCTTAGCCTCTCTCTCTCTCTCTCTGTCTCTCTCCCAGGCTCCTCTCTCTCAGTCTCTCTCTCTTTTAGTCTCTGTCTCTCACTATCTCAGTCTCTCTCTCAGTTTCTCTCTTTCAGTCTTTCTCTGTCACTCCCACAAAACACACAGTCACTACACTTCACAATATATTATAAAGTGGAGAAATGTGGAGTCCTGTAGCTCAGTGGTTAGAGCACTCGCCTCGCAAGCGAGAGACCTGGGTTTGATTCGCGGCAGGACGAAACCTTGGGCAAGTTTCCTTACTCCACACGCCTGATAATAATCCCTCAAGAAAAAAACAATAATAAATTGGTCACTTCAATCCATGACTGTTTGTGGGACACTGCTTTGCACAATTGGCTGCCTAGTTTCGCCCACAAATATACAGTCAATTCACTTTACAGTGTATTCTGTGAAGCGCTTTGAGAGGTCGAGAAGATGTGAAAAGCATTATATCAAAATGCAAGGATTATTATTATTATATTCTTGCTCACAATCTCTCTCTCTGTCTTTCTCTCCCAGTCTCATTCTGTCTCTCTCTGTTTCTCTCTCAATCTCTGTCTGTCTCTCAATCACTCTCACTATCTCAGTCTCTCTCTGTCTGTCCCACACAGAAGGACTCTAGCTTCCATGACAACCAGAAAAAAGTGCCATACATTTGCTGCAGAATATAGATGTATCTCTCTGAACGGTGTGTCCTTTTCTCTGTCACTACATACATAAATATGATGCATACCTCATATTTTGGGGCTTAATTTTTAATATAGCTCATAAACTATAAGAAATCCCCCTAAAAATATGCCCATGACACTGCCAGATGCAAGACATTTCCGATGAAGTATAAATCATGTCTCTATGTCAATCGGGTGATTGATACAGGATAGACAGACGGACTGACACACCGTCTTTATTAGTGTAGATTACTGTTCTCAGTGTTCTGAGATGTTTCGACGCACAGATGCTATATCAGATACAGGGATTAATATCAATCATATTGGAGCCTCAAAGTCTCTCCACACAATTGTGTCACTCGAGGAGTTCAGAATTGAACAGGGAGCTGGTAAAGTTAATGAAATTCATTTTTGAAAATCATTTCCATGACGATTGTTGAACATCAAGACAAAACAATAGCTTGAGACTAATTGACTGGTAAATCTGTGCTGCTGTAAACATCTCCATTAGCATCAGAAATGAGCAAGCCTTAGAATCCCAGAAATGTGCTGTGAAATTCTGCCTGTTTCTGAATAAATGGGCAGAACATTTAACACTATTGCCTGATTCTCTTCATCTGTCATTGTGTTACACTGGAGTATTAGTTTGTCACTTTGCAAGCTGTGTCCTTTACGCCTTCTGAATTTTAATTGATTCATATCATCGTAACATTTGTCATACAAGATAAGTTAGTTACAAGGTGTTGCATTGATGAAAAAATGTTTGCTGCCCTTTGTTCAAAGGTGCATATGAGTGTGTGATATGAAGGAGTGTGTGTAAGAATCATATAATAACAATAATCCTTGCATTTGATATGCATTTCCCTCCTGCAAAGGGAAATAGGCAGGCTGGGTGGGTGGGCAAGAAGGTGGCAGATGAAGTATACCGTGAGGAAGTGTGAAGTTATTCACCTAGGTAGTAAAAATAGAAGAGCGGATTATTTTCTAGAGGGGGAGAGACTGGGTAGTGTGAGTGTTCAGAGGGATTTAGGTGTCCTTGTACACCAGTCACCAAAAGTTAGTTTGCAGGTACAGCAGCAACTAGGAGGCTAATGCCTTGTTGGCGATCGTGCAAAAGGGTTAGTTACAAGAGTAGGGCAGTCTTGCTGCAGTTGTACAAGGCCTTGGTGAAACTGCACCTAGAATATTGTGTGCAGTTTTGGTCTCCTTATTTAAGAAAGGACATACTCGCCTTAGAGGGGGTGCAGCGTAGATTAACGAGGTTGGTTCCTGGGATGAGGGGGTTGACTTATGAGGATGAGGAGAGGTTCAGTAAACTAGGCCTATATTCTCTAGTATATAGAAGAATTAGAGGTGATCTTATAGAAACCTATAAGATTCTTAAGGGTCTTGACAGGGTAGATACCGTGAGACTGTTTCCTCTGGTTGAAGAATCTAAAACTAGGGGTCATAACCTCAAGATTAAGGGTCAGCCTTTTCGAACTGAGTTGAGGAAACATTTCTTCACTCAGAAGGTAGTGAATTTGTGGAATTCTCTACCCCAGAAGGCTGTGGATGCTCAGTCAGTCCTTGAACATATTCAAGACTGAGGTTGATAGATGTCTAAAGGATAGAGGGATTAAGGGATATGGGGATAGTGCGGGTAAATGGAATTAGGTTAGAAGATCAGCCATGATCTTATTTAATGGTAGGGCATGTTTGAGGGGGCCAAATGGCCTACTCCTGCTCCTACGTCTTATGGTCTTATATACATCTGCTAGACAGTGTAATGTAAAGCCTGTTCCTTATGAAATTTATGAAATATTCTGTTACAACCCATAGAACAATATAAATCTACTGTCGCCTTGCATTGTATTAGAGTCAGTGTTCACTCTTCCGGTGAAATCATCTATCCTTATCCCATTTCCCTGCTCTTTCTATGTATCCTTTCTTATCCATTTCTGCATGTGGTTGTTCGCACTTAAATGCTCCCAACTATCTCTACTCCAACAGCCAGTCCCAGCAATTAATTCCACACTTGACGAAGTATCTTGTGCAAACCACTCTGCTGGAAGTGCAAATATGTTGATTTTGGGCAATGCTCAGCCTCCACATTGCCCCACTGTTGAATAGCTGACTGAATATCACTCACTGTGCAGTGGCTACATTCCATTTTTGAGCTTGTGTTGCTGTGTCTGTGGTGTTCAGTCACCCAGCATTCGTGCAGGCTAGTTGAGTTCTCCACTGCTCTACATAACTATATATTGCGAATTCTATAGCTGTCTGTTGATTCTTGTGAGCATGTTTAAGGCTAGTAGATCATTCATTCATGTTCCCTTGGAACTAATGTCATCCGTATCTGACTTCCCTGGAGCCCCAGTAAATTTATGCATCAGATGTTCTGATTGCGTAGTGGGTTAGTATAACTGTGTCCTCACGTTCAGTGCCTGGCATTTTAATAGACGATGAATTCTAATTAACCATCTGGATCAGTGGGCCTGACTCCGAACAATGAACAGATCCAAATGCAGGTTTCTATCCAAAAACTAAGGGATAGATAAGCTACATTGATAAAAAACAAAATTGCTGTGTGAACCCAGTTTATACGTCCAGAATAATGGTTGTTTTGCAGCAGAAAATGAATGGAGTGATAATTTCAAAGTAGAGTTTTGCCTCATGCTATGAAACATGCTGACCTAATTTTCAGCTTTATTTTATCAGCTTGAATCTACTGTCATTAGGTGAATTATTAAGCGCTCTGGGATGCTAGGGTGAGAGGCGATATATAAATGCAAGTTGTTGTTTTACTTAACTGGAGGGGTGCAGGAAAGGGGGTAAAGATAGTTGTTTCAATCTGCATTCCTCCTATGTGTGTAAACCTTAATAACGTGCTGCCAAACACACCCATTTGACTGGTGTGATAAGAAAGCAAGAATAGTCTATGATGCATCAAAGTCCCATTAAAAGCGGTGGAGATGTTTTGGAAATAATTGGGAAAGTGTGATGCTGAGTTGAAATGGGGATGATGGTTGTGATGGTCATTGTGGAATTTGCTATCAATACCAAATACTGGATTTGTAATGTGACTTGTGGAATCTAATTATCTAGGACAAAGCCTGCATCACACAATACTTTCAGCAAACAATTTGAAATTGCTCTGGTGAAATTATATATAGTTACTTGCTGTAAACTATTGTGTTAATACCAACAGTATTTTGATGGTGTAAGTAATGGATTATTGTACTACCAGAGCAGCAGCTCATCTCTGCACAGCAGGTGTGCAATCGACTGCAGTAAAGCAATGTGCCATTGTATTACCTAACTCACAATTGGATCAGTTGGATTGCGGAGCAAAAGTTATTCTGAAGAAGAATCCCTACAGATCTGATCCAAGAAGGAAGTGGTCATGGAAACCCCTCGCAGATTGTGGTTTGAGCACATTGTGATGGATATACCTGAGATTTGGGGGGGGCTGCTACTATCAAGATTACAGTGATCCATGTTTGTCCCAGTGTTTGACAAGCCCGCCCCCCCCCACATTCCTCTCCCCAAATAGCCTTGTGGACAACTTGTCCTCCAGATTTTCAGTAATATTCTTTTTAAAAGAATTGTCTTCATTTTTGTAAAGGACGTGATCACTTGAAATGTATTATGGCTACAATGCGCCTTATGGTTGCATTTTTAACATTGGATTCTAATCTTTTTACGATCCCTTTTGTGTCGTTCTTTATCCAGAGCCCAGAGACAGTTTTTAACTGGCTCAGTGAGTTCCAGCTCCAACAATACGCACCTAACTTTATCAATGCTGGTTATGACATTCCCACTATCAGCCGTATGACCCCTGAGGTAAGTCAACAAAACTGAGGGTGAAACACTGCAGTGAAACAACTTGATGTACTAAATCCTGATGTAAAACCACAGACATCATTAGCGAGTTTTGGTCATTCAGTGTCCTGCTGCTCATCTCTGGCTGAAATCTACACTTTCTGTTTGGATGTTAGTTTGCCTCCTCCAATTTTCCTTCTGATCTTTTCCTATTGACCTTGTATGTGCCAACTCATCTGGGGATGGAGTTACCTCTTAGATCATCCAACCAGCAGGAGAGTGGCTATTTTTCTTACAAGATCTTCTTTGGTGACATCATCCGCAGACATGGGGTTAACTTCCACATGTATGCGGATGACACCCAACTCTACCTTTCCTCCTCTACCCTCAACTCCACGACCACCGATGTCCTGACAGCTGTCTGTCCGACATCAAGTCCTGGACAAGAAACAACTTTCTTCAGCTCAACGTGCGTAAAACTGAGGCCCTCCTGATTGGCTCACGTCAGCGCCTCCGCACCTCAGGCGCTGACAGCATCAGCATCCAAGGCCGCACTCTCCACCTCTCAAAGCCATCAGGAACCTCGGGGTTCTGTTCGACCCTGAGCTGTCCTTTCTCCCCCATATCCGCGCCACAACTGGCACCGCCTTCCATCACCTCCGGAATATCGCCAGACTACGGCACTACCTCACCCCTCACGCGGCTGAAACTCTGGTCCACGCCTTTATCACCTCAAGGCTGGACTATGGGAACTCTCTCCTCGCCGGCCTTCCCGGCCCTCCCTCCACACTGCAGGTCATTCCGAACTCTGCAGCTCTTGTACTGCCCCGCACCAGGCCTCGCGCCCACATCACTCCCACCCTCGCCCTCGCTCGCCTCCACTGGCTCCCCATCCCCCAGAGGATCGAATTCAAGATCCTCATCCTCACCTACAAGGCCATTCACGGCCTCGCTCCCTCCTACCTCTCCGACCTACTATCCCCCTACCTACCTGCGCATACCCTCCGTCCCTCTGGCTCCGGTCTGCTCCACATCCCCTGCCCCAACCGCCCTACCATCAGTGGCCGGGCCTTCAGCCTCTCAGCCCCGAGGCTCTGGAACTCTATCCCCCAGTGCCTTCGCCGCTTCCTCCCTTTCCTCCTTCAAGGCCGGACTCAAGACCTTTTTCTTTGACTGTGCCTTCAGCTCCCCTCTCGACTCTCTACCCCCTCCTCGCCCCCTCCCTTCCCTCCCCTCCCCCTGACCATTTCCCCCCTTGCTTGGGTCCTGACCCAACTGTACAGCGCCTTGGGACGTCCTCCCGACATGAAAGGCGCTCTATAAATGGAATCTTGTTGTTGTTCTCCCTTCCTCCACCCCCACACCCCATCTCCCCCTAGAGCAGACTGCACTGCTATATATTGCTGTATTGGTTCAGCTGAATAAGATAATAATAGGCAGCAGCAAACGTTACCTCATTTAAAATGTTCACCTGTTGGTTGCTCCTGCATCTTTGGATGAAGTAGACAGAGGTTGGGGACTCAACTGCAAGTATACAACTGAGAACAGTGATAGTCTGGAACAGTGGTGTCCAACCCTGGCACTAGTCTAGGTGAGTCTGTTGTAAAACAATGATGCGTTTCCAGTTTTTCTTGATTAATATTTCTTGATTTATGGCATAAATCAAGAACTATTCAATTCATAAACATTTATTTTGTTGACCAACCAAAGAGGTAGATTGAGTCCTTTTTGTGTGGAACATCCTACATTTAAATGTTAGTCAAAGTAGTGTGAGCAAAATAAATAAAATAAAGGTATCAAACACAAGTTATTCTACTACAACAACAAGATTACATTTGTATAGCGCCTTTCACGTCGGAAGGACATCCCAAGACTCTGATTATGCTAATGCATATTAAAAGTGCAATTTCAAGGTGGTAGGACAGTCTTTTAATTCTCCTTAAGAATACTCACTTTGGCATGGCTGCACAGTTGTTACATCCCTTTTACCTGTGAATTGGACTGTTTAGCACAGCAAGATTACAAGATGCATCTGATTACCTTTGGTGTCCTGATGTAGACAAGTAAGCTTAAGGGAAATTCGATCTGAATTTTACATTCAGCAAAGCATCTTGCATTGTAACTTGTGGTACTCTGTGTTCTAGGATCTAACAGCAATTGGAGTAACAAAACCAGGACATAGGAAAAAGATTGCCATTGAAATAAATAGGCTGAATATCTCCGACTGGCTGCCAGACTACCAACCAGTAAGTCTTACCATATGATGGCTTTTCATTGACATTGGTGGACAGATCCTCACTTTCAACTCCCAAATCCTTGGCTTCTTGTTTTGAATCCCATCCCAGATTAAATCTCAGATAACCACAATGTTTTTCACCATGTCCATTTCAAATGTTCAAATCAAAGTTATTTAATAGAAGAGGTTCAGGTTCCATCCTGGTGGAAGTGTGACAGTTAGTTGCACTGTTTCAGTGCATTGCTTCATCCAGATCGCCCAAAACTCATATCATTCCTTTCATTCAATCCTGGCAAACATGAGTACCTGTAAAATTTCCAACAATGCAATGTAAAAGAAGTGCAGAGAAATCGATGTTGGTTTTGAAGTCAAGTAGTTGTGGGATGCAAAATTTCGGTCCTGATATTGTAGTGTCTCAAGGGATTTGCGAACCATTGTTTATAAATGGATTCAAAACCGTGATTGTGAAAGGTTCCAGCTCACACTTCCTTTAGCCCTCATTAGACCTTTCAAGTAGTACTATGAACTTATTAACCTCCCTTCCAGCACTAATGTCAGAGCATTAGCTTGTGTGAAGCACTAGAAGTTGCAACGTGGGTTGGTTCTGTGAGTTCCCAATATAAATACTGGACCTGACGCTAATTTTAACAAAACTCAGTCAATATTATACCTTCACCTGCAACATTTCAATTTACNTTTTTTTAACTGTTATCCTCAAATCTCCGTACATTCAGTGCTAAATAATAAAGCATAGTCCATGAGCAAACTGCCTGTTTCAAGAATGATCTGAAACCCCCCCAAACCCCACTCTTTCTGCAGGTTACAATAAAAGTGAATTAATCAGCCAGCTAACATTGAAAGCTATACCTCAGAGCCAGAGCACATGGAGTGAATGCAGATCTGCCGGATTGAATTGATTCAAACCATTTCATTTCAATATCATATTTGCCTGAAGGAAAGAACCCTCCTAATCAGCCTATAGACTTGTGTTTTGCAGTTGCCGTGCACCTGTAAGCATACTGAGTGTTTCAATGATGCAAGTGACACTGGCAATAAATATGATGCATAATACTCCATTTTATCTGATTTTAATTTAAATGGAAAACCAACACAGGCTGAGCTCAATCGAAACCAATTCAAAAGTGCTATTGTTTTTAATAATTTATACCATGCAAATCCCAAACTGTAATTTCCAGACAATTTACATTAACAGGATCTTTCAGTATCTGATACATTTTAAATACAAATGTAGTTTTGGAGTACCTCCAACCACGAAACACAGGAAAATCAGCCATGCATAGAGTTACAGGATTTACGGGCATGCTATTTAAGCGTCTAGGTGGTTGAAACATGCTAGTGGGATTCAAAATGGTGAGATCGAGCCAACTGCAAATGTTGTTTCAGTTTTCGTGATGAATCAAGATTGAGGTCTGTCTTGTAAATGGCTCTTGTATAAAAAATTACGTGAATGTTGAGCGATCAGTGTTTGGGCTAAAATGTGTGCTTTACCTTGACTCGATCTTATTAGTTTTCATCTGGGCCACACTATTTGAATTTCTCCTGGAAGTTGTCCTGGACAGCAATCCTCCAGGTAAATTGGTCATTTCACTTCATGGCTGTTTTGTGGGGCATTTATATGCGCAAATTGGCTGCTGGCTCACCTGCAAATGTCATTTACAGAAATTCCCTATGAGGGGTATTGAGATGTTTTGATACTAAAGACGCTACATCAAATATAAGGATTATTATTATTATTATTTTTGTTGTATTTACGAAATTAAACATTGGTAATTCTTTTTCAGGCAAATAAATATCTTGGTTCTCTCTTTCATTGAGATGAGCAGTATAATGTGAATGTGGTGACTGTGTGCCTCTGCTGTTCTCTGAGAGTATCCAGTGGGTACCGGAACCGAATGAGGTTAAATGAGAAAGTTCTCCGGTTCAATGTTCAAGGCAGCAAGGCATTACAGTTGGCCTCAGTGCCCCACGATAGAGGGGGATATCAGCCTGGACATTCACTTCTGAGGGACTAACACGTTATGTGTGTGTGAGAGAGAACAGAATTAGGCTTGCCTGTGACCTCTTGCCCCTGTGGATAAAAACTTGCCAATGTTCGTCATCAAAGCTTGTTCATCATGAACAATGGCCTCTTGGGTGAGCTGGCAGAGGGCTGCTGGAACCTCTAGAACTGTCCTTCAATAGAAGGAAAAAGGAGTCAGCAGCATCAGGAAAGGAAGGGCAAATGCTGAGAAGTACTGTATATAAAGAACATATTGTGGTGCACATCGAACAAAAGGAAAAAGCTGTAACAAATTACAACTCAATGAGTAAAGAAATTAAAGGTATAAATGAACTGATCCAGGATAGGTTCCAACTTTCTCCAATTCCGTACAGTAGGTTTTGTACATAAATGTCTGTCAAGATTATACGTCAGCTTAGCACAAAGCAAAATGTAGTTTCTTTTTGGTAGTGTGAACCTCCTTAGCGCATTTTTCCACTGATTTTCTGTTTGATTTTGTAGGACAGAAAATGTTGTCTGTGACTTTATCAGTAACATTCTGCATGCCCTTTGACTTTCATTGAGAAACAATTTCTGCAGAACAGATCCCCTGTCATTCAGATCTGTGCTTAATGTATTTCTTTAAAAGAGAAAGGCACAGTGTGAGCTCTTTACAGCATCATCATCCTGTTCATGAGAAAACTACAAAATACTGAAAGGAATTGCTCCAATGTGGCAGCTGTTACGTCCAGCTTGTTTCACATTCGCTCCTGCTGCCTTAGGTTCACTGGTAATGCACATTGTTTTGGGATGCGTGAGGTATCCATGGTGAGCATTTAACATACTCTTACTTGTGTTTGGAAATGCTACTTTTTTGTAAAACTTACTAATACAGGAATCCTAATCTAAGCTAATTAAATCTTAAAATTTGGAGAACACACTGCTCACCTCCCATCTTCCAAACAAGAATGTATATTTGGAAAGAGTGCAATCTACACTCTGCTGCACTTCAACTGACATATATTTTGAAGCAAGCTATCCAATAATGAAAACAACCTTACTGTTACATCTGTTTGGCACTCGATCTGTCTGTTGGTTTTCATATTTAAACTCTTTTGAAACGTACACAGAAAAGCATTCTTAAATTGAGTCTTGATTTGGAAACCAGTTTCCCACAATTCTTTGAACAGCTTCCAAACGAAGATTGGATTTAAGAACTTTCCAAAATTCTATTTTCTGCACATTCTTAATTTGCACAAATTTTAAAGGCAATGATTTTAAGACTAAGATTAGAAATCTCAGCCCTCTTGCCTGAAGTAATCATATATAAATAATATAAACTGAGAGCTAGGAAGTTATGAATTCTCTTGTTGCTTGCCAAGAGCCTGGTTAGAATTAGAATTTAACCATAGAACCAAACCTTCCCGGTGGACTCAAATAACCAAAGTGATTTACATATAATGAAAAGTCTTCACTTTAATATATGTTTTGTTTTCTTGTTCAAGAATGATTTGATGGAATGGCTCTCAATAATTGGTCTCACTCAATATTACAAGACCCTTGTGGAGAACGGTTATGAAAATATTGAGTTCATCACCGATATCACCTGGGAAGACTTGCAGGAAATCGGGATCACAAAGCTTGGTAAGTGACGCCATCACCTCTTCATAATTCTATCAAGTTGTTGGTCATTATGTTATGTTTTTATAGTTGCAAATATGTCACTTAAATTTAATGCTGAAAAGTGGAAAGTTACACATTTTTGGAGGAAGATTAGGGAGAGCAAGTATTTGCTCAATAGTTAACATTTTATAAGGAGTAGTAAAGTAGAACCCTGGAGGAGTGGGTAAATACATATAAAGGCAGAAGGCAGATAGACAAAGCTGTGAAGAAAGCTAGGATTCTAGGTTTTATTAATAAGGGCATTCTTAAAGAAACCCGTTTCCAAATTATTACTGAGTTGAAGAATTTTTAAATAAATTGTTTGTGGAATATGTGACCTCCCAAAATCTATCTATATTTCAAAGTACAGCCTTTTTATGCATAGTCAATCCAGACAGATTGCAGCAGCAATTAAAACAATAAAAAAAGCACTTCAAAGATGTGTTAAATGTGTTACAGCTGGAAAATCAGAAATCGCTCTCATTTTACACTATACCCCGCTAAAGGTTTGAGATGGCTTGGAAAGGTAAGGTACATGCATCTAGATATAACTATCTTTCTTTCCATTTTGTTAGGCCATCAAAAGAAATTTATGCTGGCGGTGAAGAAGCTTGCCGAAATTCAGAAGGCTGCAAGGTATGACTCCAGCACTCTGAAGAAAAAAGCCCCTCAGACATTGGAAATAGTTGCCATTGAATCTCCACAAGGAGAAAATGCTGAATTGTTGTCCCCCAAAATGTCTACTTTTCAAGACAGCGAGCTGAGCAATGAGTTGCAAGCAGCCATGACAAATGCTGGGGATGCCAAGGACAATCTGGAACAAAAGCAAGGCAATCACATCATCCCTGCTCAAGAAGATACAGCGTACAGGTCACAAGGTTCCGGTGTCGCACAGGAAAGTGAGGTCAGCGCAAGCAAGGTGAAGACAAACGGTAATTCACAAGAAATACCAGGCAGACGGAACACCCTGCAGAGTGCAGGAATATCTAAAAGCCAAGAGAACCTGGAAGGTCCTACCCAACAAGTGGGCCCAACTAGGAGGGGTCACCGACAAGGAGTTCAAAGGGCTAGTGTGCCTCCAGTGCCTGGAAAGCCCAGAGGATCTGTGCCTCCTGCTCATCAAACAGTCGGTGCAATGTCTTCATTCACCCCACCGCAGACACCAACAAAGCCTAGGGCTTCTTCCCCACAGACACTTACAGTTCCCCAGGCCACAGCTAAAGTGAAGCCCACCCCACAACTTTTGCAGAGCGATCGACCCATGTCCCCAAGGTCACTTCCACAGTCTCCAACGCACAGAGGGTTTGCTTATGTAATCCCACAGCCAATAGAAGGTGAAGGGATTTGTGGAGCAGGGCACTCAGCAAGTCCACTGGTCCAGGCTGCCTCTGTCATGCCCGTCTCTGTCCCAGTGCTCTGTTTGCCTCCACACGGAGACGATTCAGATGAGGATCCGTTGAGACCAAAGAAGCGAGCGCACAGCTTAAATCGCTATGCCATGTCCGACAGTGAACAAGACAAGGATGAGCTCTCAGTGCCTGACATTGGGCCTTATGCCACAATACAGAGGCGTGTGGGGAGAAGTCATTCCGTAAGAGGTCAGTCGACAGCAGATAAAAACGTTAACCGCAGTCAATCTTTTGCCCTCAGACCAAAAAAGAAAGGACCACCCCCACCACCTCCAAAACGCTCGAGCTCAGCAATATCCACCGGAAATCTGACTGATGATGTTTCAAGAGAAAAGGAGTTGAGAAACACTAAAGAGCCTGATACAAAAGGAAGGTTCAAAGAGCAGCGCAGAGCAAGTGATTTTGGTGGGACGGTGGACACGGGAAGTGCTGGGAGTGTGAAGAGCATTGCAGCCATGTTGGAAATGTCATCGATTGGTGGAGGTGTCAGGGCTCTCACCCTGCATCGATCATTTAAGGCAGAGAGGGGTCTCGGAGGTCACTACGGTCAAATGATGCAACCAGCCAGTTTCGAACATTCCAGGGTAGCTACAGTGCTGGCCACAGTAAAGCATGGGCATTTAGATAGATCTCGAGATGCTATTGGGTTAGATGGAGAAATTATTAACAGAAGGAGGACAATTAGTGGCCCAGTCACTGGCTTGATCGCTGCAGCGAGAAGAGAGCGGATTGAGAGCATAAAATCAGCCACTGAATCTGGTTCACCAATGGATAAGCTTGACGTAGACCAGTCCGGATCATCCAGGAACAGCTCCTCTGAAAACATACCATTTGCAGAAGAAGGGAATTTAACTATTAGGCAGCGCCCAAAGCTGTGCGGTTCTCTGAAAAGTGACATGGTGGAGTTTGCACCCTCTGGCCAAGTTCAGGATAGCACAGAGTTTGCATCTGATCAGATCACATCAGAAATTTCTGGCACGCTCAAAAGAAGAGGGAAGCCTAAACCAACCCAGCAGCAAGAGGTCCTGGCATTTCACTTGATCGAGTCAAACACTGTTAAACGGCGACCAAAACTTAGAGAAAAGGATCAGGTCGAATCACCACAAGAGACACATCAGCTCACTGTTCTTCATAACGGCATGGGTACCGTTAAAAGAAGACCTGTATCAGACCTGAGTGGAGGTGACACGTATCCAAGCTTTCTGACCGTGGGTGATATCCGCAGAAGAAATAGTGGGGAACATACATCCCAGTCTGCGAATGGAGAATCAAAGAAACCTTTCAAACCACCAGTATCTCCAAAACCTTTAGTTGCTCAGTCAAGCGTCATGAAAAGACAAGGACCAGCACCGGGCAGTGCCAAAAAGTCACCAGCGCCCAGTCCTGGAAGTCCTGGCAGTCCAGGTATGTGTTGTTTTGCAAATCTCATTTAACTTCTCTGTTCCAGGTATCTGATTTCAATTGAGAGGATGAATAGAACTGGTATTATGCATGTCTCCGCTACCTCTGCAATGTCCTGCCTGTAGTTGATATAAAGGTGAGATAAATCACTGAGGTGAGATTTGAGAAGTCATATTTTCTATATTTACCTCCCCTTCCCCCTCCCCCGATAAACCTCTTATCAAATCTGCCAAACACATAACCGTATCAGGCAATCTTGGTTTTCAAATGTGTCAAATTACATGTACTTATTGTCAAGGGTAGTAACTGATTTTTTGAGGCAAATGCAGTAGATATTTGCACAAGGAGAGAGCGTGCACTAATTTTTCTTCTGAGTGGTTTTGCCCTGTGCGATTCAATTGGTTCAACATATTTTACATGCTCTATTTTAATACCTTTTGAAATCTAATGGGACTTTGCTCCTTCATGAAGTAAGTTGTGCCAGTCTAATTTAGATCCCTTCACCCAATTTAAAAGAATTGTGCAGTCCATGGTCTAAATGGGAATCATGTGATGGTCACAATATCTGCATTTTTTGTTTAATCAAATTGCTCATTGTTTTAAATAATCCCAAATCATGATAGTTTTTATGAAATTTGAAATTAAGTTTTAAAAAAATGTTGTGTTTTAAGCAGACCTTGCCTTTGACCTATTCATCTATCTATGCAGGTGACCCACAATATTTGTCTTCCATCTGTCCCAAAACCTTGCGCTTCCAAAGAAATGGGATGAGAGGGAAGGGCCATTTTCTACTCGGATAGTACAAAACCAGAAATGGTTCCTGAACATACTTCATAAAAACACTGTATAATTTTAAACATTGTTAGTAGGATAGCACTTTTAAGGCTACAGGCACTTTTATTCATATGAATGCTTGGCTGGTGAAATGGTCCAGAAAAGAGGTCTTCAGGATTCTGGATCATTGGGACCAGTTCTGGGGCAGGTGGGATCTGTATCATATGGATGGGTTATACCTAAACAGGGCTGGGGCGAATGTGCTTGCAGACAGGGTCGTGGAAAAGGTCGAGGTGCTGGAGGGCCCCAAAACGGAATCTATCTGGTTAGAGTTAAGGAACAAAAAAGAGCTGTTACTCTGGTAGGGGTATACTATAGACCACCAAATAGTGGGAAGGAAATAGATGAGCAGATCTGCAAGCAGATCGCAGACAAATGCAAGGCCAATAGAGTCGTGATAATGGGGGACTTTAATTATCCCAACATAGACTGGCAAAACAACAGCGCAAAGGGCAAGGAGGGGGAAAGATTCCTAAAATGCATACAGGACAACTTTCTTGATCAGTACGTTTCCAGCCCAACGAGGAAGGAAGCAGTGCTAGATCTAGTTCTGGGGAATGAAGTAGGACAAGTGGAGCAGGTTTCAGTGTGAGAGCATTTGGGCAATAGTGATCACAACATCATTAGATTCAAAGTGCATATGGAAAGAGACGAGGAACCATCTAAGGTGAAGATACTCAACTGGAAGAGAGCAAATTTCAGTGAGTTAAAAAGGGACCGGGCCAAGGTGGACTGGAAAGAAAGATTGGCAGGTAAAACAACTAAAGAGCAGTGGGAAGTCTTCAAGGATGAGATAGCTCGGGGACAGAATAAATACATTCCCACAAAAGGTATGTATGTAGGGTATCCAAACCTCCCTGGATGACGAAGGTAATTGTATCTGGAATGAAGCAGAAAAAGGAGGTGTATGACAAATGTCAAACCCAAGATACAGAAGACAACCAAATAGAATATAGGAAGTGCAGAAGAGGTTTGAAAAAGGAAATAAGAGGCTAAAAGATTATACGGAGAAAGGTTAGAGGGTAACATTAAAGGGAATTCTAAAGTATTTTATAAACATATCAAGGAAAAAAGGTTAGTCAAAGGTAGGGTGGGGCCAATTAAGGACCAAGGGGGAAATCTTATTGTGGAGGCAGAGGGCACGGCTGATGTGCTGAATGAGTACTTTGCCTCTGTCTTCACAAAAGAAGTGGATGCACCAAATGCCGTAGTATCGGAGGAGAGGGGAGAGGAAATGGATAGGATAAGTATAAACAGAGAGGAAGTACTGAAAAGGTTGACTGGGCTGAAGGTGATAAGTCGCCCGCTCCGGAGGGGATGCAGCCGAGGTTACTATGGGAGGGACGGGTACAAATAGCGGAGGCTTTGGCTACAATTTTTCAATCTTCGTTGGACACAGGAGTGGTGCCTGAGGACTGGAGAGTGGCCAATGTGACTCTCCTGTACAAAAAGGGACAGAAGGACAAACCTGGGAACTCCAGGCCAGTCAGCCAAACATCAGGAGTGGGGAAACTCCTGGAGACTATAATCCGGGACAGAATAAATCTTCACTTAGAAGAATATGGGTTAATTAGGGACAGCCAACATGGATTTGTTAACGGCAAATCTTGTCTAACAAATCTAATAGAATTTTTTGATGAGGTAACGGAGAGGGGATAAAGGCAGTGCAGTTGATGTAGTTTAAATGGAGTTTCAAAAGGCATTTGACAAAGTGCCACATGAAAGACTTGTAAGAAAGATAGAAGCCCATGGTATAAAAGGGACAGTGGCAGCGAGTTGTGGTGAACAATATAGGCTGGTAATACAATCTTAAGGGGGTAAAAGAACAGAGAGACCTGGGGGTGCAGGTAAATGAATCCTTGAAGGTGGCAGGACAGGGTAGATAAAGCTGTAAAAAGGGCATATAATAATAATAATAATCCTTGCATTTGATATAGTGCTTTTCACATCTTCTAGACGTCCCAAATCGCTTCACAGAATACTCCACATATGGGATACTGGGCTTTATAAATAGGGGCATAGACTACAAGAGTCAGGAGGTGATGATTAACCCATATAAAATACTGGTTAGGCCTCAGTTAGAATACTGCGCCCAGTTCTGGGCACCACATTATAGGAAGGATGTTAAGGCATTGGAAAGGGTACAGAGGAGATTTACGAGGATGGAACCAGGAATGAGGGACCTTGAATATGAGGAAAGGCGAGTGAGGCCGGGATTATTCTCATTGGAGTGGAGGAGGTTACGAGGAGACATAATAGAGGTCTTCAAAATCATGAGGGGATTTGATAGGTTAGAAAGGGAAAAACTGTTCCCACTGGTGGGTGTGTCGGTGACCCGAGGTCACAGATTCAAAATAGTCTTTAAAAGAAGCCGAGGGGAGGGGAGAAGACATTTCTTCACGCAGCGAGTTGTTCGAATCTGGAACGCATTGCCTGAAAGGGCGGTCGAGGCCGATTCGATAACTTCTTTTAAAAACGCAGTGGACAGGTATTTGAGAAGGACGTTATGGGGAAAGGGGTAGTGGGACTGACATTAATTGCTCTATTCAAAGAGCCGCACAGACTCGAGGGGCCGAATTGCCTCTTTTTGTGCTGTACGATTCTATGTTTCTATGATTTTGGATCAAAAGTTGCCCGTTGAAAAATATACTGCAATCTGCTCTGAGCCAATTAATTTTCAGTTGTGGACTTCAGTCTGCTAATTCAGCTTTTATTAACATGATATTATCTTTCTTTCAGAAGTAAAACGCGCACCACCTCCCGTGTCTCCTAAACCAACCCTACCGCCCCCACTGACACCACCCAAGCCCATCAAGCCCCACACTGTCCTCCAGTCTTTGAGCGCAAGCCCTACCCCAGTCCCCTCTCCTGCCAAACAACCAGCTATCAAAGCAGCAAGCACACCACCATCCCTGTGTTCTAGTCCAGCAAAACCAATCACCAGTGGCCAACCACAACAGGTCCCCGTGAAGCCACCAAGGTCCTCGATATCTGGATTGTCCACAGAGATGCCTATAACAGAGGTAGCACAAATGAAGCTGGAAGAAACCAGCGCCTCCCTGGCTGCAGCTTTACAGGCCGTGGAAGACAAGATTAAACAAGATGAGGGCCAGAAAGCAGAGTAAGTAGATTGTTCACTTAATTATTATTCCCTTATTATTAAGTACAGTCATTCATGAAACTGCACCAAGGGCTGCTTAACATTTGGAACTTGAGTTTAAATCCTACTACTGAAAGACTCCCATCTCCAAAAGGCTCTTTAGTGAACAAAATGATTTGATTAGTTGTGACACAGTTAGGGACATAGGTCAAACAGACCAAAATTTGTGAATCCAGATTAGCAATCTCATCAAGAAGGACATAATGTTGGCTGGTAAAAGGAAAGCAGCTCCCATCAGTGCAAAGGAGACATCTCTTCTGCGGCTGAATTTGAGACAAATTGTTGGTGCGGAGTGGAAAGAGCTTCAGGTTGCCTCTGCCCTGTGATGTTAACCTTTAGTACCTGGTGTTGATAGTGTAGGAAAGAGATATTGATTGATTACGTAAATCCAGCAGAACATATCTGCAGAATTCGAATCATACAATTTTTCTGCATGAGGCAGCTATTATGTGTGTACCAACTCTGTAAGAGATCTGTTTAGCCTGACTCCCTGCCCTTTGTCCTATATTTCCATTATAAGGTGTTTGTCTAATTCCCTTCTAAAAACTTTTAGGGATTCTGCTTCAAGCACCGTTTTTGTGGGGCAATCTACCCCCAAATTACCCTCTGTAATTAATGTCTGCTAACCTCTGTTTTTGTTTTTTCGGTAATGTTTTGGTATATAATGCTTCGCCCACAAAATATTCAATCAGTTCACTTTACAGTATATTCTGTGAAGGGCTTTGAGATGTCTCACGGACGTGATAAGGTTGTACATCAAATTCAAAGATTATTATTACTTTATACTTTGCATTTTGCAATGGCTTGTAAAATGAGATTGCCTTTCTTTCCGCAGGACTGCTTCTGCAGTGAAGAGCACAGGCAGCATTCTGGATGACATTGGCAGTATGTTTGACGATTTAGCTGATCAGCTGGATGCCATGTTGGAATGAAGGCGAGGAATCAAAATGGCAGAAAAACCTCAGGATTTAATGTGGGCACAATGATCACAATGATCTTATAACTGTTTTCAAAGAAATCTTGGACACAATTTCCCTCCATGAACTCATCATTATGGTTTGCACAATTCAGATTAAAAAAAACAATTAGCTTACCTCAGGATCTTGTTCCGTGAAGATCTTCTAGATTTAATTTACCAACCTAATCTTGCGCCAAAACAAGATTTCAAGTTCAATAGATGGGGATGGAGATACAAAGCTGAATTGCTTTATTATAGATAAAATTCAGGCTCTTTTTGTTTAAGAAACCCAAGGATGTTTAAACTCTTAGAATTAAAAGTTGTTAATGTTGCGATGTAGTATATGTAAAGTGTAAGCATGAGATATGATAGATTTGTAAACATTTCATCCCAGAAAAGGTGGAAATTGTACACAAGTTCTAAAAGACATGATTGAATTACCACACTGAATTCCAACTGTGGCATACGTTTGATTTCCTTGGTTACAGTGAGAGGCTTATAGGGTTTTGAATGGGCTGCTTTTTATTTTGTATTAACTTTATTGGGAATATGTTGACAGTCAGGATATGCAGAGGCATTTGATTGATAAGATGAAGAATAAACAGCTAATCGTTTAAGAAAGGGATGTTAGCAGATGTACCCTAAACGAACAGCACTGTAATGAAGTGCAGCAGGTCCTGTGTGTTAATTAGAGCATTTGTTTTATCAGATAAATAACACACACAGTGGGAGTGAAACTCCTCTTGTTGTTAAGGCAGTGACTTTGACAATGTCCATTTATTACAACAGCAAGAGAGCAATTGCTTGGCCTTTTCAATTGTCTGCTCCCTGAATATACAATCTAATATTCTTTAATTGCTTGAAAATTAATTGGATAAAATTAAGTTTAAGGAAATTGAAATCAATTTTCAGTTCTTCGTGAGAAAGAAGGAAAGTGACTGAACAAGATTCCCATTCCATTAGAAACTGGTTACTTAAAATGGCAATTATCATTTGTTTGGGCTAGCTTCTTTTCTTTCTCTATTTGTCAAAAGCCAGTGAGATGGACACGTAACTGATTTGAAGTCAGCTCATGTCAATGTGCTTTGAATAGAGTAGATTCCGAATCAGTTCTGTTTGTCCTACCCAAATACCGCAAACTTTCATCTACTTGCGGAAGGAAAGGTCTTTTTTATATATTTCATAATATAATATTAACTAAAGGGGTCCAAAATGCGGGTTAGGCTAAATTGCTTAACTGTTTTGTGCTCACTTTGCACATAATTTCACCACATTTCTAGTTAAAGAAAAACGAATGTCCTTCCTTCCTTGGCATAAATAACATTAAAACATTGCCGGGCACTTGTCTTCCAGCACCTGTACCAAGGCGCCGAGACATTAGACCATCCAGCCATCATATCGCAGGATGCTTCTGAATAATTATTTTGCAAATAGTAAAAGCATTCAAAGCTGAAAGGTTGCAATTTTAATTCCAAGTTGCTATGCTCACTTTGTTACATGCTTGTTAAACAGTTAGCTTAAGAATGCACAATATACAGCAGCACAACATCAGTCACAGCATATCTCCTCATGTACTCCGCATATCTAAGAACCACCTGTTACTTTTTAAAGTAACGTACCATTTTGTTTGGTAGAATTTTCTCTCAATCAACCCTTGGAGCCCAGTAAATGATTTACCTTCCATGTGATACTTAGGACTCCACAATTTTGCAAGCAACTGAATATTTGTCAGCAGTATCTTTTGTTATTCTTGCTCGGGGAGGAGGTGGGGGAGGGGGTTAGAAGCAAAGAGGAAGAATGGAAAAAGCCAACTTCTCTATTAACACAAGTACCAGTGGGTCTATGGAGACAGGCTTCATCAGGTCAAAATAAAGTAGCAGATTGTCTTGTAATGGGACTCTTCTCTCATGTGCATTCTCATGCATTGACTGTGTGCCCAGGGCTGAAGTTAGAAAGGAACAGATCTACCTGGACATATCGAAAATTGGCTTCCATCAGGTTTCATACCCTTCCCTGAGTACTTTAGCCACTTCACTACATTGGTTTCTCAATTGATCAGTCTGTTGTTGAGAGTCTCCAAACTCTCAGGTCAGGAAGGCAATTAGTGCTCAGAGGTGATGACGGAGACAAGTTTGCAAGTTCTGTTACTGCCAGATAACTGAATTCCCAAAGTTTCATGCCTGCATTTTACCAAGCCTGAAGGTTTAATCTACTACTGCCATGAAGCCACCTTATCCCTACCAGAGCAGATACCGTCGTGATTTTTTTAAGTATTATCTGTTTTTGATGATCTAAAGTCCTGTGCGCGATGTGCGTTTAACAATTTTTAAGCATTCAAAGGTGTTGTACTTAGGTCGTATCAATATTTTCACTTAACTCATACAAAGGACCCTATCTTTAAAGGGCACATTACTTTCTTCAGTGTTCATTTTCTTACAGAAGCCCCATTTGCACAAATACAAATATTTCAAAGTTTTAATGAGCTGCAGCAAGTGGAAGCACTTTTACATTTACCTTATACACTGCTCGTCTGTACAATGCATCTAATCTACTCGGTCATTAAGTGGTAATAATGACATTGTATTTTCTTTAAGGATTTTCTAACGAGACATTTTGAGCAGGATTTCCATGGGTATACTTGGCCTCCAACCAATTGAGGTGAGAAAGTACAATAACATCAAGAAAGATAAATGGAGCTCAAGCAAATTGTATTTATCTTTATCTTCCTTAGGTTGATTATATTGGCAGGTATACATACCAGTGTTATCTCTTATGATTCTCCCTGCTGTAGGTAAGAAATAGAAACATATAAGGTTTGTCGTTCAGAAAATGACCTTTTCTACTTTCAACAATCATGCTTGGTGTTGCAACTGGATATGCCCCTTGCCTCTTAACAGCATTCACCATAACCGAAGGGCATTCTCTGCGGTAGTTGAGGGTAAGTTAATGCTGACTGTCTGGACCAGTCACATGAATCCACAGCACAAAACTACGCTGTATTTAGCCAGCAGCCTGCTCTCTTTCAGATAGGTGTAGGATTCGAAGAGAGTGAGAGCAATAGATTCTTTGCTCTTTCTCGTTCTTCACTTTTTTTTAGGTTAAGACCGAAAATCAAATCACGTAGAGGACAGGTTCCCTCCCTGCTTTGTTTGCAAGCTTGTGGATCCCAAAGGGCTTTTAGCACACATCATATTGCACCAGCCTTATACGTTAGGGTGGGTAAGTGACATTAAACAAAGTCAGCAGGTTGGAAAATCTAGAAATACCTTTTCTGCCTCCCTGTGGCAGTTTTTAAATCAATGCAAAATTGGTGTTCCTTACAATAAAACTGTCCTCGGCTTTCAAATAAAATGTTGCAATTTCCCAAAATGTAACCAACATCTACATACAGTAGTTTCCTTTAGAAAATTAAAACATTTTATGAATTATCTTATTCACAGACAAATAATGCAAGATATTTTAACTGACCCCCAAATACTATATTAAATTATATATTAAAACTCTAGCACAACTGAAAAACGCCTGTAAAGAATTCTACTTTATTTTGAAGCCATTTTTTAAATATATATATAAATGATGTTTTAGATTATCATTTTAATTTTATGTTCTTATCATTTATATTTTCAGTGTTTTTGGAAACCATTGTATGCATTTTTTTAAAAAGAAAAATAACGTGCCTTGTTTAAGTTCAAGTTGGGTTCTTTTTGTACGTTGATTTATGGCATTGAGTTCTGTTCTATATTTCAGTTGTATGTGTGTTCGGAAGAATGCACTTTGTGTAATAACAATGTACAAAAACAGTGTATAAAGTCTGGTCTAATGCCTGAATTACAATGAATGCAACTGCCTGTGGTTCGAAAAAGTGTCTATTGTAATTCTGAGATTTGAGCTCTTGTCTTCTTATATTGTGTTCAATGACCCAGTGTGTTTGTCAGTTTTGAAATTTATTCAAAGCCTGAAAGATAGCTGATGTAAATTGTAAAAAAACAAAAAAAATCTAGAAAGCCCATAAAAATTGTATGACTGTTATATTTTTATTAAGTTATGAAACTGTATTGTATTTCCATTATGTAAAGCTATGCATCCTGATGCTTCATGATCTTCTTTATTTAAAGTGAATTTAATGTGGTTAGTTGTGTTGTGGTGCTGGAAGAGGATTCCATATCTGGTCTATCTGCAAGAACCAATTGCAATCCTACAGAGCGTGATCGAATCAGATTGTCCATGAGACATATCTGTCCTGAGAAGCCTGTTATTTTTACCTTTAAAAAGGGACTATGTTTTCAATGGACTTCCTCGAGCAACACGCTACAAAATATGTAATGTCCTGTTGAACTCTGCCAATGACTGTATCAGAACTAACATGACAGGCATGTGTGGCAGCGCTGTGCTTGACTGATTGCATTAACTGCCATTGGCTCTAAATAAATGTTAAGGTTACTCCACCTGACTTTCCATTTTCTTTTACATCTTGAGGAAACACATCCTTATTGAATGATCCACAGCACAGGGCCTTGCTTTGACAACAGATAAGAATTGACTTATTAAATGGGTTATTTGGATTTAGGGCATTTTTTTAACCTGTCTATTTGATTTAAAAAAATGTATTTGCTTTTGTTAAAGACCATTTTCCTTAGTTTTCCTACACGATGTATCATTCCCAGACCATGAGAGAAGGAGCCTATATTCCACATCAGTGACGATTTTGCTTTGTGCCTATAGGAATTGCACCTATTTTCATTGGAAGAAAAAAACTTGAGTAGTGACATGAAAAATGTCTTTAAAATTAAGTTTTTTTAAATAAAGTTGATGGGAAGAAATGATCACCCTCTAGTGTTAACATTGGGTTTTCACCATTTGGAGAGTGGGCATGTGTTGCAAGGGGCTGAGTGTTGACCACGTGTTGAGTCGATGCTCCTCCTCAAGATGAATTCACATATAGAAAAGTAATGTATTTCTTTCTTGCCACACATGCAAACCATATTAAGTTTTGAAAACATTAAAACAGTCTAAAAATGTATCATTCTTGAAATGTTTTATGTTGTCATTTTACGATGGATTGGTGTTCCCTTACTAATGTCTGCTCTCTTTCTGGGCCTTTTGAGTGTGTTTCAACCCTGCCCTTCTGTTCATATCCATGGTAAGACACAAGGAAAATCATCCAGCCTTGTAATAATAGTGAAATCAGAGACTTTACAGGAACAGGATTTGAGAACCATAGAAATCACATTAGGCCTTTCAACCCATTGTATTAGTGTCGGCGTTTAATGTAATTTCCCTGCTCTTCACCCATGTCCTCTAATCTTCCCCCATTATCTAATTCCCTTTTAAACGTCCCTAAATGATTCTGCCCTGGCAAAATCTGACATGCCTCTGGGAGAGATTTTATTGATGAAAGAACGTGCAATTGTAGCTTCAGAGAATTTTGCAGCTATAACCAATTCATTCTTACTAGGTGTTAGTGCTTGACAGATGGGCGGCTTTGTTACATGTCTGTCCATTCCTCAGATTGTGCTGCAACTGACCCTACACAAATGAGATGAGCAACTTTTAGTTTTGATTGTTCGAGAGACAAAGAAAAGGTGGAAGAACTTGGTGCCATTTTCTCACAGTGACATTGCCACAACATAGGAACATAAGAATTAGGAGCAGGAGTAGGCCTTTCGTCCCCTCAAGCCTGCCCCACCATTCAATAAGACTATGGCTGATCTTCTAACCTAACTCCACCTGCCCGCCTTATTCCCATATCCATTAATCCCTCTATCCTTCAGAAACCTATCAATCTCAGTTTTGAAGATGTTCAAGGACTGAGCATCCACAGCCTTCTGGGGTAGAGAATTCCATAAATTCACTACCCTCTGAGTGAAGAAATGTTTCCTCAACTCTGTTCGTAAAAGCTGACCCTTAATCTTAAGACTAATTATAGATTCTCCAACCAGGGGAAAGAGTCTCACACTGTCTACTCTGTCAAGCCCCATAAGAATCTTATATGATTCTATAAGATCACCCCTAATTCTATATTCTAGAGAATATAGGCCTAGNAAAAAGATGGCGTACGACAATTGGAAGACACAAGATACTGAGGATAGCAAAGCGCATTATAGAGAATGCAGGAGTGATCTTAAAAGAATGATCAGACAAGCAAAAAAGATCGCATGAGAAGAGGTTAGCGGGTAACGTAAAAGGGAATCCTAAAATATTTTACAAGCACATAAAGGGAAAAATATTAGTTAAAGGTTGGGTGGGGCCAATCAAAGGCAATGACGGCAATCTTGTTGTGGAGGCAGAGGGATGGCTGATGTACTGAACGAGTACTTTGCATCTGTCTTCACAACGGAAATGGATGCCCCAAATGCCGCAGTATTGGATGAGAGGGCAGAGGACATAGATCAGATTACTATAGACAGAGAGGAAGTTCTGAAAAGATTGACTGGGCTCAAAATTGATAAGTCACCAGGACCGGATGGGTTTCACCCAAGGTTGCTGTGGGAGATATGGGTTCAAATAGCGGAGGCTTTGGCCATTATATTTCAATCTTCATTGGACGCAGGAGTGTTGCCAAGAGACTGGAGAGTGGCTAATGTTACCCCACTCTACAAAAAGGGGCAGAAAGACAAACCCGGAAGTTACCAGCCAGTCAGCCTAACTTCGGTAATAGGAAAGCTACTGGAGACCATAATCCGGGACAAAATAAATCTCTACTTAGAGGAACACGAGGTAATTAGAGACCTCCAACATGGATTTGTTAAAGGCAAATTTTGCCTAACAAATCTAATAGAATTTTTGAAGAGGTGACTGCGAGGGTTGATGAGGGAAATGCAGTGGACGTTATTTACATGGATTTCAAAAAGGCTTTTGACACAGTACCGCATAAGAGATTAATAAAAAAATTAGAGGCCCACGGTATTAAGGGGACAGTAGCCATTTGGATTAGGAGTCCTGTAGCTCAGTGGTTAGAGCACTCGCTTTGCAAGCGAGAGACCTGAGTTCAATTCCAGGCAGAGGGCGAAACCTTGGGCAAGTTTCCTTACTCCACACAGAGCCTAATAATAATCCCTCCAAAACCAAAAACAATAATAAATTGGTCATTTTCAATCTACGACTGTTTGTGGGACATTGCTGTGCGCAATTGGCTGCCGCGTTCGCCCACAAATATACAGTCAATTCACTTTACAGTATGTTCTGTGAAGCGCTTTGGGACGTCCTCCCGATGTGAAAAGCGCTATATCAAATGCAAGGATTATATAGGAACTGTCTGAGTGACAGAATGCAGAGGGTGATGGTTAATGGGTGTTTCTCACAATGGAAGGAGGTGTGTAGCGGTATCCCCCAGGGATCGGTATTGGGACCACTGCTCTTTCTAATATATATTAATGATCTGGACTTGGGCATAGAGAGCATTATTTCCAAGTTTGCAGATGATACAAAGTTAGGGTAGTAAATAGTGAGGAGGACTGTAACCAACTGCAAGCAGACATACACATGTGGCAGATGGATTTCAATGTGGATAAGTGTGAGGTGATACACTTAGGCAGGAAAAATGATAGGAGCCAATATAGACTTGGTAGCTCAATCTTAAGGGGGGTGAACGTACAGAGAGATCTGGGTGTTCAAGTAAGCGAATCATTAAAGGTAGTGGGGCAGGTAGATAGGGCAGTAAAAAAGGCATTTGGTGTACTGAGCTTTATTAGTAGGGGCATAGAGTATAAGAGTAGGGGTTATGGTTAATCTATACAAAACAGGTTAGTGCAGTTTTGGTTTCATTTAAGAAAGGACTGTGGAGTACTGTGTCCAGTTCTGGGCACCTTACTTCAGGAAGGACATTAAGGCACTGGAAAGAGTGCAGAGGAGATTCATGAGATGATACCAGGAATGGGGAACCTTAGCTATGAGGACAGGCTGGAGAAGTTAGGACGTTTCCCATTAGAGCAGAGAAGGTTACGCGGGGACCTGATAGAGGTCTTCAAGATCATGAAAGGTTTTCGACAAGGAAAGCTGTTTCCGCTGGTAGGTGTGTCTGTGACCCGTAGTCACAGTCTTAAGATATCTACCAAAAGAAGCAGAGGGGAGGTTAGAAGAAATGTTTTCACTCAGCGAGTTGTTCGAATTTGGAAAGATCTGCCTGAAAGGGCAGTGAAGTCCAATTCGATAACAGCTTTTAAGAGAGAACTGGATAGGTATCGGGGGAAGACGGGTTTGTGGGGTTATGGGGAGAAAGCTGGTGATTGGGGTTAGTGAAGGTGACGCTCTGTCAAAGAGCCGACACAGACTCGATGGGCCAAATGGCCTCCTTCTGTGCCATAACATTCTATGAATTTATGAAAAAATCTAAATCTAGTCTACTCAACCTATTCTCATAGGTCAACCCCCTCATCCCAGGAACCAACCTACGCTGCACCCTCTCTAAGGTGAGTATGTCCTTTCTTAAATGAAACCAAAACTGCACACAGTATTCCAGGTGTGGTCTCACCAAGGCCCTATACAGTTGCAGCAAGACTTCCCTACTCTTGTATTCTAACTCTTTTGCAATAAACGCCAACATGCCATTAGTCTTCCTAGTTGCTTCTTGTACTTGCGTACTAATTTTTTGTGAC